AATCCCAAATGAGGCCCAAGAGCTTCAATTCAGTCCCAAATGAGGCCCAAGAGCTTGCGTGCTGCATTTTGGAGGTTTGGGAGGCCCAAAACCTCCATTCTCAGGCCTTTTTGTCATTCCCATGCGCCCCTGCAAGGGGGGGGGGGCGCACGGGGGGGCGCACGAACAGTGACAGAAAGACCTGGTTTTGGAGCTTTGGGAGGCCCAAAACCTCCATTCGGGACGTGTGCCATTTGTCTGCGGCGTAAGTGCGGCGTAGCCCTTCTGCAGGCCAGTGTAGTTCTGTGTGGTGTTTTTTTTGTTCTGAAGTGCATTCTGGACTGTTTTATCATTGACGAGGTGACACGGCATCCGTGAAGGTGCGCGCATTGTATCCCACGGATTTGGCCCGAACACATACGAACGTTTGTCGCTTGTGGCGTGGGACCCTGCGCTGTTCCTTATCAAATAGGGGTGGGCGCCTCATGTTCCGTTTGCGCGATCCAAGATTGGCATGTGATCAGGTTCTTGCACTTGGAGACATGCTTTGCCCTGGAACTAGGCGAAATGGTGCCTCACAGACATCGTCGAGGACGTCAAGAAACTGAGCGCCCGCCTTTGCCTTAGATCCTTGATGTGGTGAATTATGGCGATAGAGAAAATTGGTGATGTCGGATGAGTTACCACAGAGGACATTGGAGGGACCATTAAAGCAGCAGCAGCCGCCAAGTTAAACCAACTGTGGACTCCGCCTAAGCTGAAGGGCAAACCTCTGCAAAAGCACACGCGCTGTCCCGCAACTGCAGCGATGGTCACGTTTTTGCAATCGGAACCGAAGCCTCTTGCAAAGCATTTTCTTCATTGTTCTACTTTGCAGATCTCCGAACCAGTCCATTTCTTAAAACTGCGGGGTTCAGAATTGTAGTTTTGCACTGCGATAACCCTGGCATTTCAACTTCATGTACATGTTGCCTCGTGACATTTTACCTCGTCAGCCCTGTGCAGTAGAAACAGTAGAGCGTCCGCTCCTGCCTGGCTTAACGGATGTAGTCCTCAGTGCTTGTGTTTACAGTTTGGAGTTCTCCTGATAACTATAAGAATGATTTGGAGCTGCATTGAAACAACTTCGCGCGCCGATGCGGATTAGTAGATTTTTTGAAAATCTTAAGCATGTCTTCCAACCATTTAAGCTGGGAAAACACAAGCAAACAATAAATTACATTTAAGCCGCTTCAAGCCCCAAGGCAAAACCACCGCAAAAACACGCGCGCAGCCCCGCAACGGCAGCTACGTTTCTTTTGCCGCCGAGTTCGACAGGATTGGCCCCAAAGCAGCGGCCAACCAAGCGTTGACATCTTAGCGTTTTAGCATCTGCGGTGTTGATGATTTCGTGGCTTGGTGAGCTGTGCTGCCGACACGACGTGCGTAAGAGGCGGAGCCGCAGCCCCCTCCGCTGGTCGCTGAACAAGGACGTGCAGCACTTCGTTCCAAGAGAGCCTTCCTCATCCGTCCCCAATTGCAAGGGACAGACAGCTGGCTGGGTCAAAGTTTGGCATTCCCCGCCGAGGCAGCCTTCGCATATCTTTGCATATCAGATGCCTGTTTGGGCTCCTTGCATGTGAACTTTTTTTGTTTCGTGCAAGAGCTGTGAGGGCAAGCGCCGGGAGCCGGGGCCTTGCTGGCAGACATGTGTTCTTGCAAAGTGAGCTGAAGCCTAGGAGGTACAAAAGGGCTGGTTCCGGGTGGTCATCGAACAAATTCATGTCAAGAAGGAAACGACAGTCCTGGACACATTGTCTTGCAAAGTGCGAGGTGGGAAGTCTGCCGCGGCTGCGTGCCCAGTGAATCCACCGGACAATGTTCGGCTCGCATATGGACATTGGTGGCACTGCATTTCTGCACTTGTTCTTAGGGATGTGGTGATGGCGAGCCACGATCTTGGCCTGGACATACTCACGGTCCTGGTACATTTCACTAGGTGCTTCAAATTTGCACTTACGCCGCCGTGCTTGACCTATTTACACCTTTCGGTTGCGTTGGTGGTGTGGCGTGTGAGTAGATTGCGTATGCATGCCACACCCCTACCTGCATGGTCGCAAAGGCCCGCCAGGCGTGATGACCTGGACTGGCCCTCAGGGAAGAAACTTGGTCTGAACAAAAACACAGCACATGTTTCAACTTTTCCATCTTCGCGAGGTGCATTTCAATTGGGCACCTGGGCAAGTGCTGAATGGAAGGACTGCGTGCACTGCTTTCCGATCTTGCTTTCTGTCATGTGTTCATTGCCTCATGCCGACCGACACAGAAAGGTGAGCTGGGTTGCTGCACGCGGCAGTGCGCGTTAGCTTGTAGGTATCGGCTGGACTCCTTATCTGGCGACGGCACATTTGGCCGGGTGAGGTCCTGAGTGTCGCGTGCCGGCTGGCTGCATGTCAGTGCGCCCTTTCCAAGAAGTCACAGGTCTGCCTCGCTCGTGACAAGAAAAGGAGATGCCAGGCGCAAGAGCTTCGCGACGCAGCCCCAGCGGGGTTCTGAGCTGCGCCGCGAAGTGGTCTAGCCTTCTGCAGGTTGCTATCAAGATCATTCGCGACGAGAAACGGCAAGCTTGGGCGATCTTACCATGAAGGGGCACGTCATGCTGAACAAGTTGGTCAGTTGGCCAGGCTCAGACAGGCTGCAGCGGAGGAGGCGCAAATCTTGAACAAGATCAGTGAAGCGGACCCATGGGGGCCAGGGCCTCAATACAGATCCTGATGGAGGTTAACTGTTGCAGACTTTGCATCCAAGGCAGTACCGATGCTGCTGGATGCAGGCATCATTCCTCCATGACTCGAGGCAGCTACATGAGAAGTCCAGCAAGGAGCGTGCTTGAGTCGCATGCGGCAGGTTCTTCTGCATGGTGTTTGAGCCGCTAGGTTCGAATCTGTCTGGCCCCCTTGGATCTTCTGCGCTCATGAGCGTGTGTGCGTGTGTAGCCTTTCTTCTTTATGCTCTCGTGAGGTATGAGTTCCTCAAGCAGAACAACTATCGAGGGTCTGGATGCCTGGTGTTCCGACAGAAGCTGATTTCACGAACGCGGCGTGCACGGCCTTGCCTTGGCCCGGTGCAGATATTCACTGGTCGTGTTTTGACCCTCCGTACGGGGTGAATAGGGGGTCCATCGTGGATGCACAGGAGTCCCCGTGTGTGGCATAATGTGGCAGATTGCTGTGGAGTTGGTGCGTTGTCTGGACCTGACATCGGAGGTCGGCTGCGAGCCGCATGTTCTGTCACAATCAGCAGCTGCAACGCACCGGGTGGACGTCTGCAAAGTTCCCCTCCATACATGAGTATCGTGAACCGCGCTTCCGTCCACAAGTCCGCGGGAGCACGAATGCCTGCACGATGCCTGTGGCTGATTGTGCCCATGCCGCAGCACGAAGCATGCCCTCATGCCGATTGCGCAGCGAGGAAATGAATATGACGCAATCTGCTGCCAGGCATCTACAGCCCCACTTGCGCAGGGCCACTGATGTCACTCATGCCATCATGGTTATGAACGGCTTCATTTTCAGAGCAATGCAGAGCACATCCTGACCCTTTGTTTAGTTTCTTCAAGAGACAACCAAAAGCCAGAGTCTGGACACGAGGGGAGGTGTTTCATCCGAATGCAAACAACGGCAACGAAGCAACTCGATGATACTCAATGGCAACTTGACCATCTACGATGCCACGGCAGAGGTTGCTTGCAGCTGCCTAGGAACGCACTGGCTGCTTCGCCCAGGTTTTGGCTTCAAGACATCCAGAGCATGGGCAAGCAGCTGTTGTATGCTCCGTTGCGGCAAGATGGAACTATGCAGGACGACGGAGCCCATGTTTTCCTCATCGCTTTGAGGCCTTGTCCTTCCTGCACGATCGCATGGAGATGACCCATACTGACTTGAAGTGCCCAAGCTTCGAGAATCTTCTTCGCTGACGTAACGCGCGCATACGCGCGCCGCGTGTAAGGCCTGAGAACATCTTGCTGACGTGCATGCAGCCTGGCAGGCCGCTTCTTGGTGGCTTGTGTTTGGGACATTTCGTCTGTTGACGCCTTGTTTGACATGTTGTTTAAGCGTTCCAGTGTTGTCAAGTTGTGACAACAGTATGCCGTCGAGATGGATACGGCATTTGCAAGCCGGAATGCTGCAGCCTTGCAAGGCCGTCGTGGTTTCCTCGAAAGGATTTCTTTGATGCCCAGCAGCAGGTGGGCTGCAAGCGGCATGCTATTCCAACATCGGAACGTGTTACGGGACACCGTGGCATCGAGGCAGAAGTGTGGTGGAAGAGAAAGAGCAAGCCAGCTCAGCTGCAAGCGCTGCAAAGGCAGAGTCTGCCAAGATTGATACAGGTTCTGTGCTAACTGAAAGGAAGTTGTCTGTGTTGCTGCTGAGGCCGGCCGCAATACATGCGCCCGCCCCATGTCTGCTCCCAAGGGCGGCTCCCCACATGGGAAAAATTGAGAGATATTGAGAGCCGAACAGGATTCAGCGTGGCAACATGTGGTGTGCAGTTGGAGTGCAATTTGCAACAGGTTGGCATCAAGCTGATCGATTTCGGCCCCTGGCTTGGACCTGGTTTGGACTTGCCCTGTTGCGTCCTCTGGCCTGTCGAGGCAATGCCGTCTCGGCAAATGAACGGCGCGACACCCTCATCAACACTCGGCAGTAAGCTGCTCGGAGAATGGCACGTTGGCCTCCTCATGTAAGTCTTTGGAGCATCTAAACTCGTTCTCGACATCACGGCACCAAAGTGCGAGGTATCGAGGACCAGAGGCGCCACAAACCAGAGATGGGGATGATGAACTGATGTCTCTACGTAAGCCCTGCCAGCGCAGGTCATCCTGGATCTGGGCTGGGATGAGACCTCCGACATCTGGAGCAGGGCTGAGTGTGCTACCGCCGCAACATGCCGCAACCATGTCCAATCAGTTCGTCCGCGGCCTTTTGATCCAGTAGGAAGTTGGGGTTCTTGCTCCAGACAAGACGGGGCGACTCAGCGGCATGGCGTGCTGTCCATGCTGGGAGGCGCTGACTGGCCAGAAGGCTCGGTCGCCCCAGCGGTCTTAGCATTTGGTGCTTCAAAGCAGCCGCCCCCTTGCACAGGACGCCTTGCAACTCTCTCCCCGTCAGGCTGCTTGTTTTTGAGCTGAGTTCTTTTTCCGGACGCATGACACACTTGTGTTCCATTGATCGCTCGCATGCGTCTTTTTATTTACGTATGTGGTCGAGACCTTGGGGTTTATTTTGCGCTCGTCCTTGTACTACCAAGAATGCTGGAGGAGGAAAGCTTCCCTATCAAAAAAGAACGACATGAACAAACAAAAAAAAACACATATCAATATCTAAATAAATAAATAATATATATATATATACACACATATACATATTAATTTACACACACACACAGACACACAGTGTTGCCCAGTCCTCCCCCCAGCCCCCCAAGGCATCCCCCTGTGGTCCCCCCCTGTGCCGCCTGTGGTTGGGGGTGTGCGGGCGGGGGAGGTTTACGGCTTAGGGTTTGGGGGTTTTTGGGGTTTCAGGGTTCTCAAGGTTTTGTGCGTTTTGCGTCGGTTGTTAAACGGCTTAAAGGTCGTAGGGTTTGTTTAGAGTTGCAGGTTTTAGGGAGGGTTGGGGTTCAATGGCTCCGGCCCAAGTGCCACTTTGCTACGAGGCCAAAACTTGGCAAACCCCTCTAATTGGTAATTCGCCGTGGACAATAAATACGCAATGGCCTCAAATACTTCCAGGCTGGTTTCCTGCATGGCCTCTGCTTTCGCAATGTTGCCACTGCAATGCTGTTCAGGGGCATTCGATGGCATTTGACTTCGCGCATTATTTACAAACGCTTTTACTTCGTGCTCACGAGAATAGCACAGCCTTTGACATGGCTTGGATTTGGCTCCAGGATGAAGCGTTGTGATTACGGCGGTCGCTTGCGCCGGGTCGCGATTTCAAGCGATGACGCGGCCTTGCGTTTCTCAGGTGCGGCTCTTGCCGCATTTGGAGGGACTTCCTGCCAAAAGCTTCTTGCCGACTCTGCGAACACCTCTTCCGCAAGTTCTTCAGTGCATGCGCTTGTTCCAGTCCGACAAGGCACCAACATGCAATCAACATGCGCGTTATGCGGGTGCCAATGGGAGTGGCAACATTGTGCGACTGATGCGAGCCCTTCGTTCCTGCGCTGTGCTTTGCAGAAGCAACGTGACCGGGTTCTTTCAGGACTGCTGCACACATCTTGCGATTGCACCTGAGCCCTGAATCCTCTACTTATGCCCTGAAGCTTTCTCGCGTCTTAGCCAGCAGTCGCGGCACTTATGCAAGGTAGCAGCAACTTAGGTCATAGGCATGGAGCTCGGACCCGGTGAGCTCGGGCCCGGTGAAGCCATCGTGGTCATCGATGACCACGAAGTCGCCGTGAACAAGGAGTGGTGGTCCGCCCTGTCGATGCACCAGTTCCTCGTTAGGCGTGTTCGTGTGTTTGGGAATTTTAAGGGTTCGAGCTTTAGGCTGCAAGCCTATGGATTTTGAAGCCCCAGACACAGCCCGAAACTCAGGCAATTTCTCTTCGTCGATTGTTTCAGAAACTCCGTAGCCCAGGGGAGGGCAGGCCGTGTGCGTCTTTGCTGTATGCCGGGCCCGCCAAATGGGGTGTTGGAAGACGGACCCGAAGGATGAGAAGAAGGGTGAGAAGGACGACAGCCGCCAAAAGTGCCGCTTGCGTTTTGAGTGTCTGACTGCGCAGGAGCGTTGCTGCTAGGAAGGTTTTCTAGGCTTGTGTGCCCTCCCCTTGTGGGTTGTGAGGCTGCCTTGCGCACTTGGAGGGGGTCTGCTAAGTCCTCTTCCTTAACCCCTCCCCGCCTTACCCTTGTCCTCCATCAATCCCTCACCTGCATTGCCGTCCCAAGCGCACTTGACTTCGCCTGTTTCCCGCAGCTGCTTTCTCCTCCTCCCGTTCCCCCCCAGTCCAGGCAGCAGGCAGAGCCCGCTATGCGACTGCTGGTGGCTCTCCGCGCCCTGACGCAAGGGCCGCCGCCGGAGGCCCCCAAAACCTCAAGCCCTCTCCACGCCGCCCAGGTCCGAAGCTCCGGTGCGCTGCGGCGAGGTTGGGGTTTTTTCTTGTTGTCTGCCCCTCTCCACTCTTTCTGTCTCCCTCTGCCCACCCCCACTTCCAGTCTGTTAGCATGACCCCCTAACTGCAAGAGATTTTCCCGAGGTCACGATCTTTCAGTCGGCTGTGAAAGCCGCGCTGAGATCTTGAAACCTCGGCGTCGGTTTGGATTTAGGGTTTAGGGTGATCCTTCTTGCGCAAATGAATGGGTTTAGGTTTTTGGCTTCTGGGTCAGAGGGTTGGGCTTCAGGTTCGGGGTTTTGTTGTTGAGGATCTGCTGATTCAGAGTAGCCTATGTACGATTCAAGACGGGAAATGTGCCTGTTCACTTGCTTACCCCCTGTTGACAACACAGGGTGACTTCAAAAATCGGCAGTGCTTGTGAGCTGCCCAAATAAGCGTTTCACGCAGGCGAAACGCCAACTTTCAATTAAAAAAGGGTACCGTTTCAACGGCGGCGGGATGTTTTTGAATGCCTCTCATAAATTTCGCGAGAGCCGCGAGTTGTATGTGTGTCATGGCGTTTTGAGCTTGTTTAGCAATCTTGACTTGTGTGAATGCAGTGTGAGGGCTATCGTGAAGTAGCCACAAGTGCCAAACTGGAGGAGGAGAGAGACCTTTCCGCAAAAAGTGTTTTTCTTGGTGGTCCCAGCTGATGCTCTGAGCCTGGGTTCAAGAAGAGGTTTTTGGTTTTGGGTCCAGGGCCTAGAACTTTACGGTACAGGGTTTAGGCTGTGTGTCAGGGTTTTGGGTAGTTTAGGTGGGAGGGACAGCTTGGCGGGGATGCCATGTGAGGGCGGGGGGACCGCTGACATGGCGACACGGAACCATGTACATATATGTATGTATGTGTGTATGTATGTATGTATGTATGTATGTATGTATGTATGTATGTATGTATGTATGTATGTATGTATGTATGTATGTATGTATGTATGTATGTATCCACACACACAGATACATGTTCGTAAACGCATATTCAAAACACCTTTTTGATGCCTTTGCATCTGCACATTTTGATACATACACAGGTATCCTACATACAGCAATATACATGAATCCATGAAAAACACATAAACCAACAAAGTAATACATATATATATATATATATACATATATATACACAAAAAAGCTATATGTGTACGCATTGTCCATATGCATTCGTGGCAAAGCTTATGCATTGACGCGTGCACCGACACATGAAGATAAATGTGTGCGTTCCGGGTCGGGGGCCGATCATGCTAGGTAGCCGTTTTAAGCCAGCGCGTCCAGCCATAAGTTCGTGCAGTAGCTGACGTGGGCGGTGGCAAAGGAAGCACTCCGCGGTACTGGTAGGCCAGGTCGTGACCGCGACCTGCCCAGCAGAAGCATCACGGTTCTAAGCCAACCTAGTGCCCGATCCACCTGAAGACTATTGCCACATCTTCAGCAAGCCTCGAACAGCGGGCGAGAAAAAGAGGGTCGAGGACCGGCCAAAAAAAACACCGACGAGAAGACTAGACAGGTCCACACGGAAGGCGCTCGGAGGACCCAGTTCCAAGACAAACGGCTGGGCAGGAAAAGCATACGAAGCAGATCGTAGAAGCGTGACCGACACCATGGACCGTACGAGAGCTCGACGCTGAGTAACACTTACAACTTCTGAAGATTTGGTGCCCCACGATATTCAAAGGTTTCACTTCTTCAATATGAGAAGCATAAGAGCTTAACATCCAATAGTTTTGCAACACTACTGTTGAATTGCAACGTTAGGGTGCAGGTTTAAGGTTGAGGGTATAGGGACTAGTGCTCGGCATGACAGTTGCAGGCGGAGGACTCCCCAGAAGCCTGTAGAAACAAAAGTTTAGTGCTACTGTCAGGTGCCGGTCTCGGCACTGATATTGGGAACTGCACCTCTGGGCTGCGGCTGGGCCGGCGATGTCTCAGAGAAAGAGGCAGAGGCCACCGTCTTGGAGGACGGGGCGGAGCTCTGCAGCTTTGCTGCTCTGCTGTTGAAGCTTTCAACAAAGTTGTGGTCCCAGGCGCTGTCGATGGGCATCCGCGATTTGGACACCGCTCCGTGGCCACTTTGTCGAATGATATGATCTCTTCAAGCTCATAGACTTTTACTTTGCTCTTCTCCTGGCCTGGCCCAGTCCTGGCCCTCAAGCTTAGAAGTTCGTTTCAATCCCGAAGCCAGGTATGGAGCTGGATTGTCCGAAGAGCGAATCGGCAAAGTGCTTGCTCAAGCCCAAAGCCGGGTGCTCAGTCGGTAGTTGGTCAGAACAGACAAGATCTGGAGCCTAGAGTGCCTGAAAACCGCGGTTGCCGGGAGTTTTCTGGGGGAGATGGGGAATAATCTGGCAGGTGCGACGAATTTGGCTTTTGGAAGCGGAAGTTCTGAAGGTTTGGGATATGTTGCAGAGTAATATCTGGGGGATGAAAAGTAAAGAAATTGAGGAGAGAGGTCGAGCTTTTCTCCACGTGGTTGATTCAAACAGGGCCGACAAGCGTAGTTTTGCGCTAGGCTTCGCAGGTTCAGGCTTGAGCAACGCTTTCCTGGGGAGTTGTGGCACGTATGAACGCGTGTGACAGTGCAGAATGTTTTGTGACGAGGCAACAAGTCAGCAAATGCCAGTGTTTTGACAATGTTGACCAAAAAGGCCAAGCATCCGGTTGCACTTGTGCAATATGTTCTGCAAATAGGCAAAACACGCTGCAAATGTTATGTGGGCCACCACGTGCATGCACCATGACCCTTTACGGAACAAATGCAATCAAGGTCGCAACATACTGCAACCCACCCTGCAGCGCAAGAGTGCTCCCAGACAGATTTCGATGGTTGCTGCCACGTTGTGCTTCCCAGGCACTGCGACAAAGGAGCCAGTGAGCATAGCGACCAAGGTTGGAAGCCGCATGGATGCAACAAAACCGACACTTTAAGTGCTTTCCTGCAAGCGGAGCCTTAGGATTTATGGTGAAGAAGACGGAATCCTCTTCGTACGGGCATCGCGTGGAGACCGCCTATGTGCCTGAGCAGCAGGGGGGTTGTTCATTCAGCTTAGGGACTTCTGCGCACAAGGTCTCGTAATCAGATGTCCAGGACTTCTACACTGATGCATACCACAGCGACATCCCGGTGTGGGATTACCGCAAGGAGACCGTGCTCTGATCATGTGCCAGTGAGGGCTGGCGAGCTGAGCTGGAGGAAGGAGTTGAAGAGAGCTTGCGGCAGTCCAGGCGAAGGCTTCAGAGCACCGTTCTCAGCACTCAATTGACCAAATGCACTTGAGAAAGGCGTCTGCAAAGCCTGAGGAGATTTCATAGATTGCCTTCGGATACACGATGCGGAGGATCCTGATCGCTGGGAGGAAGCGTGCAGCCAAGGACTCGGAAGGCTGCGCAATGTCCAGCAATCTTGCGCACATTGGCACACATATTCTCAAGGTTCCAACGGGGGCGTGGATACCCTGGTGTCTTTGCGGAATAGAGGCGCCAGGGCGTGGGTCGCTGCAAGCCTGCTGTGAAGCGGGTGCTCTGTCACCGAGTGCAGGTGAAATTGGACAAGTCAGCCTGGGAGCCTTAGCTGAGAATTTGGTCAAGATACATAAGGCTTGAGGTCTTGTGTGACTTGCTGTAGCCGGATCTCAGGCTTCAACAAAGCTGAGTTCTTGATGCGGCTTGGTGCAGATGTCCACCATGGTGTCTGTGCTTGGGCACGTGGAAGCTAAGGAAGACCATCGTGCGATTTCCTATCGGTACCTTTGCCTCTCGGCGGAAGTTCAGTGACGGATTCTTGCAGCTTGGTCTTGACATGCGCTCTAAGGACAACATCATGGTTGCACAAACTTGGAACCTCCTGGATCAGTCAGCATACCCACTTCTGCTCGAGTGCGAGAAGCGGGGTGCCTTGGTTCGCAACATCCACGGCAGGGCGGCACAAAGCAAACACAGGTGCATGAAATCTGGTCTTTCCACGTGCCTTGCTACGAACTCCGAGGGATCAGAGTGCAGTTGGCAGCCGTGTTTTGCGCCGGCCTACTGTGGGGGCAGGGCCTCTACAAGTACACCAGACCCTTGGCTTCAGAAGATCATCCAGGCCCGTGCCCCTTGTTTGCTCTGGAATCAATTGGCAGGCACTGTGCCGCCCGAAGCTGCAGACAAGGCACGGACCTCGATCTCAGTCTCATTCTGCTGGTAGCTCTCGCTTCCGGGTTTCAGGCCAGACGCTGGGAAGAGATTGTCCGCCCGTTTGGCCTAAGCTTGCCCGCTGTGGCTCTGGCCTTTGCCTACCTGCCAACCTGCGTGGAGAGGCGCTTCCTTGGCTCGGAAATGCATAACAGGTCAACTCATAACAGGTCAGTTCATGTGTGCTGTGTGTGCCGTGGTTGTGCCAGGATCGCGATTGGTTGTGCCTCTGCGGAACACGTGCGCAGCAATGTCAAGCTGCTCGGCAAGCGTACTTAGGAGGTTGCAGGGTTCTTGTTTTGCCTGTTGAATCACATGAATCACATGAATCACATGAGTGTCAATCTGTCCTTGCCGCAGGCTCTGCAACACTGAAGTGCCACTCGAACTTTGGAGAAAAGCCAAGGAGCAAGGACTCTTGCCAAACTTCCTGAATCTTTAAGCTTTAAAAAGTCTGAAGTCTTGAAGCCCCCGGGCCTGTCGGCACAGCTGCAGCTCGGCATCGGTGCATAGAGTTGAAAGCTCACCTGCAAGCCCTGCATCTTCGATCCAATGAAGTGCGATGAGAAGGGCGCAGGCTTGCTCGCTGGTCACTGTCAGTCAGCCGACTGCGAGAAAAAACGGCACCGCGCATCGCCTGTGGTTGGCCAGGGTGCCAGCCTTCGTAGTGCAGAATAAGGAGTGAATAAGGCGAATCAAAGAGTTGCTTGCGAAGGTCTGCGGGTTGCATCCTCATGGAGTTGTGCCCTTGCGGACGGGGACGGGCGATTCTTCATGAACATCAGGGCCTGGACTCCTGAACCGCAGGTACACCGGTCAGTTGCTGTTTCAGACGCGCGACAACATGGAGCATTTGGCTTTGATGGAGCAAATGATTGGCCCATTGTCGGCGGGCTTAGCAAGTTCGTTGTCTGTGTCAAATTTCTGCAAGCAGAGAATCCCAGTCGCGTGCCTTTGCCGTTGCCAGTGGCTCAAACTTGCAGCTTCCAGCAGCCCAGCAGCATCCTCTTGTGCTCCAATGGCGCCGCTGACAGCCCTCGTCCTTGGTGCAATCTTGTCCCAAGCTCGCGCCTGGGAGTGCCCGACAGGCTTCGCAGGTCCGGAGCAGTGCCTCGGCAAGGAAAACACGGGCAAGTGTGATCTGCAAAAGCCGACAGCTGTTGACGTCGACACCTCCAGCACTTTGACCTGCCAGAGTCCTGATACCAAGCTTGTGGAGTTTGAAAACGACTGGGGCCTGGGTTCTGGCAGCTACTACAAGGGCTGTGGCTTACAACATGCCGGTTTGGAGGACAGCTGTTGCAACTGCTGGCCTTTGGCACAAGCGACTGAAGTGAGTGTGGGCTCCGAAGCTTCCGAAACCAAAAGCCAATGCTTCCCATGCCACAACTCCTGTTGCAAGTGGTGGTGGCTGTGCATCTTCGAACGCTGCCTCTTTGAAGGCGACGACTGCTCTCATGCACAGTGTTGAAGACAATTGTCTGAATAATTGGGACCCCGACTTGCCTCGAAGCGCTCCCTGCAGCTTCTGCGTGCTCCACTTGAGGTGGCCATTGCACAAATCTCAGAAGCTGACGTGCACTCGTGACACACATAGGTTGTGATATCAGCTGGGAGCCTCCAAAGAGCTTCACTGAATGTAGTTGATGAAGTTTAGGTTTGGGTCTGCGCTCTGTGCTCGAGAGCTTTGGTCCACATTGTGCCATGGAGACATCCCACGCTGTGAAATTCGATTACGCCAGTCACACAGACTGGCTGGCCCGAGCTGCCCTTTCATCGAATACAGTTTCGAATCCTGTTACAGGAGCTGCCAGGGTGCGAAAGGGTGCCGATTGCCGGACTCAACTTGAGAACTTGCGTGAAGCAAAAGAGAGCGGATAGAGCGGATAGAAGCGAAGGGTGGGATGTGAAAGCCATGGGTCAGAGTGTGGGGCAGCCCAGGCCTGCTAGCATGACGCAGCGTCAGGGACCCGGAGATTTTCAGGGCACGCCCACATACCAGCGCCGTGATGGAGAGAGGAAACAGTTGAATGTACCAAAATCTAAACATTATGCTAAATTTTAGGGTAAGATGCATGAAAGGGTTAGGCTTTGAGGTTGAGACAAGCCACTCATACGACCCCATACCTGCAAACGGCATTCTTCAGACAACTTATGAAACCTATGTCAAGCGTACTGCCAATGTACTACCACTTGCCGCTGGCCTAACAGTTTCTACGATGACAGGTACTGATGACAGGTATCTCGGTAGCCAGCACCATCCTCTGACCATCCCTGTGCCCAGGTGCACCATTGCAGATCAAGGCGATGATGCTGAAGAAGACTCGTGCTCCCTCCAAGTTCTGTACTTGTGTTTCAATTGTGCGCCCGTTCCATTTCGGGGCTACAGGGTACTCGTGGCCGATCGCCGCATTAGGGTACTCGTCCTCGTCCTCGTCGTCGTCGTCGTGCTCGCAGTTGCCAGTTGCGGTCGTGGTACACATAGTGCGGAACGCCCTACTGGTCGTAGCGGTCGTAATCCTCGTAATAGTGGTCGTCATAGGAATATGTAGAAAGCAGAAAGCAGTAAGCAGTAACGTCGTAGTACGTAAGTCGTGAATAGCAAAAACAAGACGTCAAGAGTCGTACGCTTCAAGCCGAAAAGCAGAAAGCAGTAAGCAGTAAGCAGTAAGCAGGAAGCACTAAGTTGTATTTAAGTCGTAGGAATAGAGAAGAAAGAAGTACACAAAACCAGCGTTTAACGGGGTTTTTGTGGCTCTCGAACTTGTCCAGGTACTCCAGAAGAGCAGAGACAGAGCCTCAGATCTCGACGGCGCAAGCTGCGCAAGCGCAGTTGTCTTCTTAAATTTCACAAATGCTCGTGCGGGCCCGCTTTGTGACCTTTGACAGAACGCAACATAACCTGAGAGCTGTGCACAGTGCTTTGAGCCGAGGTCGATGGTGGTTGAATTGGCCTGTTCATGGCTTGGATTTTCAAGGGCTGAGCCTTTTCACAGGCTGCCATGCACTGGGGGCCAACATGAGAATGGCAAGTCAACACGCAAGTTGCGAAAACCATGCATGTTTGGCAGTGCCCAAATGTGTTGCTGCTCAGTCAACATTATCTTATGAAGGCTAGGCACTATAGAGCCCCGCAGGGTCAAGACAAGCAAGTGCTTTTGTGCTGTCTTGAGGGTAAGTTCGTAAGCAACTGCTGCGTCACTTGTCAGATCAAAGGGAGTTCCTCATTGCCATGACATGCTTGCGTGCATGTCCACCTTCGAAGTTTGTGCCGCAACTGCTCCGGAGCGCGGCTGGTTTTGCAAACGAGGCTGGTCCTTTCTTGGGAAATCCAGGACAGAGATACTACACCAAGACACATGAGTGGATTCAAATTGAGGACGAGGGTGTGGGAACTGTTGGTATCACGCAAGTCGCCCAGCGCGCCCTTGGCGAAGTGCTCTTCTGCAGGCTTCCGCGGGAGGGTGCCCGATTCAAAGTCATGGAGACGCTTGTCACTTTGGAAGCTCTGAAATCTGTGGGCGAAGTTCACAGCCCTGTTCAAGGGGAAGTCCTTGAGGTGAATGCGCGCTTGGAGCGCGAGCCTGCTCTGGTCACATATGCTCCGCTGACGGATGGCTGGCTGGTTCGCATGGCTTTCGATGGTCAGATTCCCAGGTATCTGAGAAGAAGCAGAGCAATTCCGCGCTCAGAGGTGGAGCCTCTACTGGCTGATGTTCCAGGGCTGGTCCAATATCTAGAAGAGCGGCTTCCATGTCATCCAGGAGATGGCGACACGCTGCAGGAGCTCACCTTCGATGGTTTGCGTACCATAGAACGGTGGTATATTCACAAAGCCGCCGGGGAACTGAACCTGCACACAGCATCGCATGGCACAGGCGCCGGCAGGCAGCTTGTGGTGCGGAGGCTTCCCCGAGCCGGCACATCTGGTCCCCCTGCAGAGGACTCCGATGAAGAGGATGCCGACAACGAGGTGAGACCTCCACAAAAAGCACCAGCTCAAGACAAGCGGCGGAGAACGCCTGTACGTGTGCTGTACAAATGAGGGGGAAGCGCAAAAATGCAAGCGATTCAGCTCCGCATGTAGATGCCAAGCGGACCAGCGGACTTGATGTTTTGCGGGATGCTCTGCACATCTCTGCACAAAGCCCTGTGTGTGTGCTGAGGCTGGCGCCGCATCGCAGGCCTCCATTGACAAGGTGGCCAGCACGACGCTCGAGACATCAGATGGCATGAGCGCCGCTGCCAATGATGAGTCCCCCATCACTCGCCAGCCGAATGCGGCATTGTGCTCGCTGCAGCGACGGCTTAATGTACCAGTCTTGAAGTGACAATAACAGATGCACTGCAACATAATTAAGGAAGGCAGCAATTCGCAGACTGCATTTTATGGGCATGTAGTCTTCGGCTCGCAGCCGCATAGAATGATAGAGCATGGAGGGCGTTGCAGCTGACTCGCTTGATCCGCCAATCATTGAGATCTCGGCTGCACAGACCCAACGGCACCAGGATGGCACGAAGACCATTCACGGCACCTTGTCTAAGAATTCGTTCCGGCGAAGTTCTGCTGATTCGGAGCTTCCATGTGGCATGCCTATAGTCTTGACTTGGTGCTTTTTTCATCAGGCGTGTGTGCATAGATTGCAGGGCAGCTTGCGTGTTGTGGCAAGAGGCTTCTTCGTGACCAAGACTGTCCTGGGCGAAGGGTCTTTTGCGAAAGTGAAGCTTTGTGTGCACAAGCTCACTGGCGCGGAGTTTGCAATCAAGGCCGGCTGCGACACCGTTTGAGGGCTCAGCTTGGAGAGTGCTTGATGTGTAGCAGAGATCAGCGGCCCAGCGCAGGTCTTTCGGAAGTTGCCCCTGCGTCGAAAGCGAGAGTTCATTCGCTCTGACACGGGAGAGGGCATGAAGGTCCGCACCACCTTGGACAAGGTCTATGACGAGATTTCGTTGCCGCTTGCCCATCCACAGTGAATCAATCGATCGTATGCAGTGCTGCTCTGATGTCACCGGTTTGTGCGCTGCAGCTGGCGCAGGCGGCAAGGTTCGCAGGGCAGTTGTTCGTACTTGTCAAGTTTAGAGATGTCATTGCTGTCATTCTGCGTCCGCTGAGGATGAAAATCGTCTCGCATTCGAAGTGCGTTCGGATGCATGCCGTTCTCGACGAAGCTGCTCCTGACGGCAAGCTGTATGTGGTGCTCGAGTACCTGCCCGGTGGTCCATCCATGGAGTGGGATCCGTCGGAACGCTGCTTCCGCACCCGGGCGGGCGGACCGATCACCGAGCAGATGGCTCAGAGATACACCATCGACACCCTGCCACCCAGATGAATGTCGAACTGCGTCGAGCTGTATGTGGCTGAGTAAGTAGCAAGATGTGTCGGTCCACTAGTGTCTGCTCTTTTTCCAAGGAAGAGAGAGAGAGAGAGAGAGAGAGAGAGAGAGAGAGAGAGAGAGAGAGAGAGAGAAAGGAAGGAAGGCCGTAGCCATTTTGGCTCAAGTTCTCCTGCTCAAAACAAGTTGAGTTAGGGTAGACCCGCTGCAATGACCGAGGGCACGCCACGCCAGGCAACCCACAGCTATCAGGAGCGGATTCAGAACCTCTACACGGACCTAACACAGCCGACAGATGACTCCGGGGAAGAGATCAGGGAATTGTATTCCTTTGTCGGAATCCACGGGTACCAAGCCTTGAATCACTTGAACATTGTGTTTGCCGAGTTCCTTTCGAGTCTTGCGTTTTCTGTCCAGAGTAGAGTGCTTCAGGAGTATATCCGAAGCGCTTTGGCTAACAACGTGGTCATCGTGCCAGCCGCTGGAGGCGGTCCGGCGATCCATCGCTTGCAAAGCCTCTCAATTGCCGTGATCGGCCTACACCTGTTGTCCCTCATCGACGATTACAAGAACGTCCACGGCGACATCTATGTATTGAGGTCCAGGTTGGGTCAAAATATGGAGGTTTATAATCTCCCGATGATTCTTCCGAGGGATCCACAGCTCAAAGAGCGAAAGTGGAACTCTCAACCTTTTGAGGTTATCGGAGCATCCTACATCTCGACTTTTCGGTCATTCTTCATGGCTACTGAGCACTTTCGTCAGACGATATCATTCGGTTATTTGCGTGCTCCGAACCAGGCACAGAACATTGCATGGGGCACAGCACATGGTGCAGCTCCAGCTCCGCTTGGTCCTTTTCGTGCTGCAAACATGAATCACATGACCGGTGGTGGTACCGCGCCCAGGAATTAGCCTCGGCACAAGCTCTGATTTCAGATCTTTTGCAAGGCGTACAGCAAGGCTCTGCCGCTATTGGTATGTGCATTGTGCATAGCTGAGTATTCCCAGTTTGTCTTGATGCTGGAGCGCGGGCTCGAACTCAAACCGATCTTTCTCTCAGACCGGGATGGAGGCTCTTACACCGCACTCTGCACAATGCAACTGATTGAGGGCAGGAATGTGATCACTGGTCCTTTTCAGCGTGATATGATTACGTTGGAGATGGCGGAGATTGCAACCCTCACGACACGCTTTCTTGATGCTTGCGTGCCACTTGATTTATTCCAGGACAGAGAAGCACTGGCCATCAGGATCAATGGAGATAACGACACCTCCTCCAACGCTGGACGACGTGCCGGCATTCTTCGCGAATCCATCAAGGCCTACCATCGCTACTTCTGTGTTTTTGAGAAGGCTTATCTCAAGTATGTTTTCCAGCACACCCACATGGCCGAAACGGGATGGGGGCTACAACGACGACGAGAAGAACTGAGCGACGCGGAAGAAGAGTCGTCAGACGACGAGCACCGTAGACGTAGACTGTTGGGGGCCCACGGCGCCTAATGAGGGGTAGGGGCTGCTTGAAGGTTTCGGGGGCTTTTGGCTTGGAGACGGGTCTGAGGGTCGTAAGGCGCACTAGGGGCCCCGCACGAATGTTCTCACCGTAGCCAACCCAAGGACTGAACGTGGGGGCTACAACACCCACGCATCTCCCCGGGAGAACGTCCCCCGTAAAGGTGTACGCTACTGGGTGCAGGGTCCGTGTTTTAGCCAAAGGGGAGGGGAGGTGCGCAGCAGCAGTCACAACAGAGCCCACAGCAGTAAGGATAAGAGGGATGGGGGGAGGTTCACTTCGACTTCGGCTCGGGTTCGGGAAGAAGGGCTGAGGGTGCTTGTGTGAAGTAGGGGGTTGCGTTGGTTGGGGGCGTAGGAGGTTGACCTTCGGGAGGTTGCTCGAGGCCTTGTGCGTGTTCTGGAGTCGGGGTTTCGACAAGTGGGCGGGTAGGGGGATGCACTTTGGGGAAGGGAAAGGGGGACAGTTGGGGGGCCGATAACCTTGCCTGCGGCCCGCAGTAAGAGAGGCCCGAATAGGGGGCCGATAACAGGGGTCAGCTGTGAAGGCTGGGGGGCAACAGGCCCCGGCTGAGTGACAAGCTGCGCGGCCAATGAGCCGCAAGTGGGTGGTAGTGCAACACAGAGACAATGCAGGACCGGGGCGCGCAATCGCGCGGAGGGTTCCCCTCCATGCCCCAAAGAAAGAAAGAAAGAGAGGGAGAGAGAGAGAGAGAGAGAGAGAGAGAGAGAGAGAGAAAAAGAAAGAAAGAAAGAGCCGTTTGTGAAAAAGCAAAGGCAGGCGTTGGACTATTTGCACGGCCAGCGGATCGCGCACCGGGACGTGAAGCCGCAGAACCTCCTCCTCGAGGCTCACGGCAGCGGACTGAAGCTCGGGGACTTCGGGGTCGCCGCGAGGACACCCTGGGCTTGAGGGCTTGTGGGTTGGTGTTAGGCTAATACTTGGGGCTTAGGATTTCAGGGTGTTCGGGTTTCATGGCCGGTTTGAGCAGTTTTTGCTGCTCTAGGGAGGGTCGGAGGGATCACGATTCGTCTGCACCCCAACAATCCGTGAGATTCCTGAGTGCAAAAACTAAAGAGGGTTTTGCTGATAAATGGTGAGTGTAATGCATGATCCTGCATACATATCATTATGTATCATGTCTTGATCTGATATCTTAACTCGTGTAAATGTTGGCGGAAGCGTAGTGTAGCCACAGAGCTGTGCTGGGTTTCTGCACCTTCCCTTGTACTGGACAAGCGTCCTGGATGCAAAAGGGTCTCTGTGCACTGTCGAAGAGCGGAGACGAGTTCAGGATGCAAAAGGGTTTAGGGATGTTGAGGGTGCAAAAGGCCCTAAAGTCTGTGGTCAGTTTTGGGGGTGGTAGCTTTATGTCACATCGCCTGGTAGAGTACTGTGCTGCCAACCATTCTTGTGTCTCCTCTTTCTTGCCGTCCGCTTTGGGTATGCGGTTGGCGGCTCTTTCCTGCGGCCGACTGTGCCTCCACTGCCTTCTTGCATCCTTCTTGCGCTTTGGTGTGCGTGGGTGGCGTCTTTTCCCGCTTCCGACGGCTTCTGCTGCTTCATCGTGCTCTTGTCTGCTCGCGCTTTGGCGCGCATGGTTGGAGAGATTCCGCCAATCTGGTACTCTGTCCGATGTTTAGTAGCTGTGGTGCGCATGGATTGCGACCTTCGCCTGCGGCCCCCTGTGTTTGCGATCGTTTGCTTCTATTCAGACATGTTGGAACATAACTTGCGATGCATACAGACACACAGGTGGCGTGTGATGGGGGCGAAATGGCTGAATGGTGTTAAGCTGGCCGTTGCTGTTTGGGCTATAGAACCTTGGAGAACCCAACCCAAACTGTAGATGCTCCGGGAAAGACTGTCGAAGGTAGTCCGGCCTCCGAGCTATGGATACGACCCGTCTAGTCGCTATGGAAAATTGAGGAGGTGGTCGTCCGAGTGCTAGCGAAGCTGCACTTCCGTGCGCTCCCAAACCCTTAGGTGTTGCTAGAGGTGAGTAGGGAGTCGTTTGAGACTATAGCTAGCGTGCGCATTTCATCCCTTTCAACTTCCAAAAAAACTAACCCCTCCCCCCTTCGCACACAGAAGTGGGCACCTAGGCCTGAACTGAGGAGTCAACTCGCCTTGGGTTGTCGAATTGAACCCGAGGTCAGCGTCACGCACTCCTGTGAAGACCGTTGGTAGTCTAGATGGCACAGGTACTGATACTGGATGGAAACCCGTAGCCGGTGCAAGCTTCTGCATTGCTCTGATTCCGTGAGGATGCCGGATGACTGTGTCGTTCAAGGAACTGAAGGAACATATCAGTTCTTCTCGCCCGAGATGTGCGCCATTGGCTACAAGGGTCATGATGGACGCCGTGCAGACATCTGGGCAGCCGGCATCTCGCTGTGGGCCTTCCTGTTCCATACGTTGCCCTTTCTGAACGAGGTGCGCAGGGATTCCGTGTTTGAGCCTTGCCCTTGAGTGCATGGGGTCTGTCATGCTGCCGTCCCATGCTTTGTCCTGAAAGCAACAGTCGGCACGAGGCGGTAGAGGAATGCCCTAGGACCCTTGACCTGTGAGTGTCTTGTTACGGCGAAATCAGGCGTAAGGCTGCGCTGGTAAAGGACGGTAAAGGGATCTTGCTGGCACGCACGTGCGCGCAGGATGCAAGTGTATGATTGGCGCGCGTAGCCACGGGAGCTGCTCATGACGCATTCTGCCGGCCGCACAGAAGGTGAATTCCTGCAGGTCAAGACCGGAAGCCCATCACCAGCACCGTGTGTAGGTCGTCGAAACGATGCGAAACACCGATGATGCTTGCCTGGGTGCATCTGGGGACCGTCCGTGATGGGGCATGTTGAAAACCACAGAGCTGAGAAGAATCTTCATGGCACATTCGTGGCATCACGTCTTCCTGACAGGCTTCGGGGTGGGCTTAGCTTACCCAAAGCCTGGAAAGAGCAACTTGGCATAAGGCACGTACGTCTGTTGCTGTGCCAGGACATGGCCGCGCTGCTTGATACCATCGCTGAGGGCAGCTACAAGCTTCCTCCTTGTGACTCGCTCGAAGGTGTGGGGCATGAGCTGCAGAGGCTGCACAAGTTCTGGATGTACTTCTGGGTGTAATTTGGTTCGTATCGAATCCGAAGCAGCGCCGTGCCATACATGTGGCTTCTTTTATCTTCCTGACCCGCGCTGTACAAGTTTGCAGATGGAACCTTGCCGATCGAACATATGTGATTTGTTTTGAATGTCCGAGTCCCATGTGCTGCCGGCTCGTCGCAGCAGGTGACTCTATTTCGGCCAGATGCTGCGCATTTCTGACATGCATGCTCACAAAGGCTGCAATGGTTTTGTTATTGAACGTTCTGAGCACCGCTCGGAAGTCGCTGCTCAATCTGCATGCGTCAGGATCCGGTGCGACGTCCCTTGGCTGATGAGCTACTGGAAGACCCGTGGCTCAGACAAGGCTCGGTCGGCCAAGCATGGCTCCGTGCAAATTCCTGTGTTTGGGTAATCGCCGTTGGCCGCTGCCGCGGGCGTCGCAGGTCCCGAGCACGTCGTGGAGCCTGTTGCGGGAATCGAAAACAGCTTCGTGGGAGCTTGCCCAGCTGCAGCAGATGCCTCCTTCAGGTGCACCGAAAACTTACAGCCCAAACTGCCAAACACCAACCCCTCCTCCCAGAAGAGGGTGCACGAGGCGACAGATCGGCCAGTTGCAGTCACGGTGGCAAAGTTGCTTCTATTCCAAGGTCACCTCCCGATTGCCGCAAGCTCAGAAGCAATTTGTTTGAACAGCTTAGGAGGAGATTTGAGACGCATGCAAGGCCCAGCAACTGCAGCAGAAGGAGCCCGATCAGAAGCAAGAGGCCTCAGGCTGTTCGAGCTTGTGCTGTCAAGGTCGGTGACAGGGCCTGAAGCTAAGGCTTGGTGCCTTGGTGCGGGAGATGTGCCAGCTCCTACCAAGCCGGCGACCAACGGCAAAGAAGGTTGCAGCCTCTGTCAGCACTCCTTTCCATTCCACTTACAGCTAGTATCATACTATCTGAAATCTCGTGCACCAATGATGCGCCAACGATGCACCAAGTCTCAAGAGATGAGACATGGGTCACCACAGGCCATCGCAGGTCGTCGGATGATGGGGTGGTTTCAAGTTTACCGAAATCCAGGCCAGACATTCGCTGCGGAGGCACCCTGGAAGAAAGACTCCTGAACACATCTGAAAAGGCAACAACGCGCAACAGCACAAAGCCCCAAAGGCAGCCAAAGGGTCACTGAGATGCGCCATGCCCTGCGCCCCCGGCGGCTGCGAGCTGCACTGGCAGCAGCCGCGCTGGCAGCAGCTGCCATCTCAGTCCACTTTCCCACAAGGCTCCGCCATGCTCCGCCCCTCGACATCGCGTTCCCTGAATAGATCGACGGGGTTCAGTGGCAGCACGACCGATAGGTCCCATCCGCTCTGCCTGCAGGCCTTGTGCATTTACAACTTCTGGACGCCTTCACCGAGCCGTCGAAGGCAGGAGGGGGGCCCAGAGTGTGCAAAAAGCTTCTTGTTTGGAGGGGGGCACCCTGAGCTTGGCTGAGGCTCCAAGTCACCTCGTCGTGCCGTGCCGCAGTATTCAAAGGTCCACTACGAGCTCGATGAAGATGGGGCGAAGGCTGCACCCAGCTCGCAAAGGACCACCGACTGGCGGGCAATCACTCCCCTGGACGATGCAGCTTTTGACCAGGCCAGGTCTGGTAAAACCATGAAAATCCGTTGTTGCCTATACCTGGCATGCCGGATATCTTAATTGAGTCCCAGATTCTTTGGCCAGAGAACGGCCCGGCCAGGCCTTGCCCCATGGTTTCCCAGTCCCTCTTGTCCCCCCCCCCTTTGTCTCCCTGCCGACACGTTCATGTGGCACGGGTAGAGGTTGACGTAGGCAGGTGTTTGATCTGGAGTAGCGTCGTCACGTGTATCATATGCACATGCATTCAGAGGGCTTGGGACAAATTTTGGACCAGGAAAGGCTCTTGGAATACATCGGTGCTCGACCGTGGGAGATCTTGCAGCGCTTGGCATCAACTCTGTTCATTGCTTTTGGGATATGGTGGGCGTGGAAGGATCGCAGCAGTGAAGCCAGCGAGGCAACTCTCACGACTTCCCTCTCCCGAAAAGCTCCAACTACAGCAAGTGGTGAGGCTCTGCGCGCAGGGCTGCAGCGCATGGGTGTCTTCTTCGTGAAGATAGGCCAGAAGCCTCCCAACTACAGTAAGCAGTCGAAGCAGGAGAGTGGACAAGTACTAGTACTACCACGTAGCATACTGTACATGCAATTCGCCCAGCTCTGTCGCAGAGAGTTCCATTCTCTGTGTTCTGCCATGAAAGGTCAGACAGCAGCCCAGCGACCCGACATCGTCGGCGACGAAGTCGCCGAGGAGCTGAAAGGCCTCCAAGAGCAAAGCAAGCCCTTCAGCGACGAGGTCGCCCTCGCCATCCTCGCTGAAGATTTGCAGCACACGGGCCCCCTGGCCCCCGGTGTCACTGCCAAGAACTGCACGGACCCTTCTGGGAAGCCACTTCTTAAGGAGCTGAACCCGAAGTACATCGCTTCCGCCTCGCTGGGGCAAGTTTATCGCGGCAGGATGCACGATGGGCGCGAGGTGGCGCTGAAGGTCCAAAGGCCAGGTGTGCGTGAAGTTCTGGGCCTGGACTGGGCGGTTGCGACATTAGTGAGCCGCGCATACCAGAAGTTGGTGTCTTCGCCGAATGACTACGGCGCGGTTGTCGATACCGTCGCGCGGGGAGTTCGAATGGAGCTGGACTACCACAACGAGGCTGCGAATGCCGAAGAGTTCGCTCAGCGGCATGCCTTCCTGCCATTTGTGACTTCGCCCGGCTGCATTCCAGAGCTCATGGGCCCAAAGAACAGCTCCCGCGTGCTCGCGTTGAACTGGTACCCGAGCCGCTCACCTGGGGAGCTTCCCGTGGAAGAACGTCGGCTGTTGGTGGAAATGGCCGTGGAGGCTTGTGTCATACAGCTTCTGGTGACCGGCTTTGTGCATGCCGATCCGCATGAAGGTAATCTAAGGATGGGCGATGATGGCCGCGTCGTTTTTCTTGACTTCGGTCTTATGGACCGTGTTGACTTCGGAATCATGGAGAGCTGCGCAGCCGGAGTTCGCCAAGTTCTCAACAAGAACTGGCTAGAACTGACGACGACATTTCAGGAAGTGCGCTTTACCCCGAAGCCACTCATGAAGAACATGGCATACGGCAAATCGAAGACTCCACACTACGAGCCTTGTGGCAATGAGGAGTTTGCAGTGGCCGTCGGGGAGCAGATTGAAATGGAGGCAGGTGGCCAGTCTCGGTTTGGGGCCATGGCCGTAGCCTTGAAGAAGCTCTCAGATCGCTATCTGATGCTGACACCCCCCTTTATCGCGCTGCTGTGCCGAACGTTCATTACACTGGAGGGGCTGTTGGGAGATGACCCCGTCCTCGTGGAGTCCTACAACGTGTACCAGAAATCCTTGCCATTTGCCATCAGCCGCCTTCTTTCCCCTCGCACCCGAAAGGGCTGCAGGGCCTTGCGCGGCACTTTGCTGGATTCTGAAGGCAGTGGAGAAGGTACCAGCCAGACCTCTCTTCTCCCCAACTGGTCAAGCTTGAGCGCCCTCCTCACTGCGGGGTCGCAGGACGACGCGAACACTGCGGAGAGCGATTCTTGACTTCGATTGCCTTTGGTTTCGTTTCCTGTCCATAGCCCAATACCCAATCGCATAGTGCAAGTCACGAAAGCTACCAAAGGCTTCCTGCTTTTTTCTCAGCATGTGGATGGAGCCTGCGAACAACGAGAAATGTAGCATTCTTCCAGGCAAACCTTAGGAAAACAAAAGCCTCCGCCAGATAGAGCGGCACAAACCTTCGACGCCCTGCCAAAAGCATCCCTTCCATCAGCCCTCCTGGGGGCCATCTCCCCAGGGGTTTTTACGGTTTGCGGCTTTTAGGGTCCTTGGGTCGCGCAAGAAGGCCTTGTTCCGCCCAAGATGCCTCGCATGGCTTGGCTTTGGCTTTGTTATAGCAGGGGGTGGGTGGGATTTGCATCAGTGGCACTACCAAAGGCCATGAAGGCTTCACCTTACCCTGTGTCTCATTGGATCATGCTTGCGAAGCGAAATAGAACGTAGCAGACGCAAGCATGGCTTGGTTGGGCTAGGCTGGGAGGATGCAAACTAAGAAACGTGCCCAGTTTTTGACAATGAGGGTTGGCTTTCTTCTAGCTCCCCATTTCGGGTAAAAAGGGTCAGAAACCTGCAAATGCGACCTCATGTGACCTCGGGGAGGCGTGCAGTTCTTCCGGATTCCAAGTCCAATCTCGGGCCTCTAAGGGTGTGGAGGGTTGAGGCTTCAACTCGTGTCCCTCACACATCCTCACACAGACATTTTCAGACTCTCAGATTGGGACGAACAGTCCCTACTAGGGATTAGAGTACCCCATATGATCATCCCAACTCTGAGACCCAGAGGCCCTTGATTTCACAGACCTCGGGGCAGAAGCGGCCGTGCAGCGGCGGCTGCTTCGAACGGCCCCCGGCCTTCGAGAGTTGTGGGATGTTGTGGGATGTTGTGGGATGTTGTGGGGTGTTGTGGGATGTTGTGGGATGTTGTGGGATGTTGTGGGATGTTGTGGGATGTTGTGGGATGTTGTGGGATGTTGTGGGATGTTGTGGGATGTTGTGGGATGTTGTGGGATGTTGTGGGTTACAGTAAGTAATAAGCAATAGTTAGGTTTAAGGTTATAGTAGGTCATAGTGAGTCATAGTAATCTATAGTAAGTTTGAGTAAGTTTTTGGTAATTCTTAGTAAGTTTTAGTACGTTTAGTGTTATCCTTTTGTCGTGCCTGCGAGTTCCGCCAATGAAGGCCGAAGGCGCAGCTTTGCGACGAATTCTGTTTGACTCGGACATCTTTGAGGCACTTCCCCCCGTCAGTTGGACGTGCTCTGTAAAGCCAGGGCAGGAAATTGCCATCTGCCTATTTAGGTTTTTTGGTGTCTCTTGTGTCCCCTTGTTCCTTGAAACTGTCACCGCTTGCTCGCTGTACATCCCCGATGCCTCTCAGCCCTGTACCCCTGAACCTAAACTCCAACAAGCAATTCCGTCTCAAGGCCATGTCCACAGTGGCTGGTGCCTGATCGCCCGATCATGGCCCATGCTAGAGTTTTGTTGGTGACCGGCGCAAGGGCCTATTGGGGGAAGAGAAAGCGCCTGAAAGCCAAAGTGCCTTTGACATTGCACAGGCTTGCCGAAGCTTCCTAACTTCCAGAGATGCTGCTCCGCTCCGAGATGCCGCAATTCGAACCTGGGGTGTAGAGAAACCTTGTCCTCGCTTTTGTTCCTTCGAATATTGATTTGTTCTTTTTTCATGAACGTGCTGGATCTTGTTTTGAATCAAAATCAACGATGGACTTCACGCTAGCTACTGTTAGTGTTTTTGTTTTTTTTATAAATGTTTTTGGCGCAAGGGTCTCTGGCTGGTCGCTGGTCTTCAAAGCGCAAGGGCCGAGGCCTGTGATGCAACGCATGTGCCGACGTTTGCTGTGAAAAAACTACACCTGTGCACCAAGGCGGAGGTCAGAAGCCACGGGGACCTCGCAGTGCCGCGGCCTCCAGGCCGACCAGTAACTCGCACATGCTGTTCAAAAAACCATCCACTCCCCTGCATCTCCTGCAGGGGCTGGGGCGAGTGGTCTGAGGACGACCCCTATAAGCTGTCTCAGACTACGCTGGACCACTCCCGACGCGCTTGGCGGATCGTCATGAGGCCAGATGCGCAGATCATCTGGTTGGATGCCGCAAGCCGGCGCCAGTCAACAAAACACTTTGTTTGATCTTGTTTGGTGCCAGGCGGCAACTTCAAAAGTCGTGTCTTCCTCCGTGGCGGCTGTTCTGGCGAATGCTCCTCCTGTGCGTGCAGGACAGCATGACAGGATAGTGCGCAGTGCAGCCTGACATGATTCTAGTGCTGATCAGTCCATTGAGAGTCCATTGGCCCGAGACTTCTTAGTGTATCCGCTTAGCCCGCACCGAGGTGCTTGCACACACACGTGTTCCTGTGCGAACGTGATTATCAGTCCTTAGAAGACCCTTCTTCCCACTTTGCGCCACTGTAGACATCGAAGTCTTAATATCTTAAAATGTCGTGCAAACCTGTGTAATTCCCCCTCGCGCAGGTTGTACCTGCCGGCTCCGTTCTTCTGATGCGAGCTGCGTTGCAATCCCGTTCAAGGGTCCGAGGCTGAGTCCTTGCCTGAGGCCTGGCCACCTGGCCTGCGCAGGAACGGCCTAAATCTGGCTTACGTCTTTTTTTTCAATCGGGTACAGGTTGAGCCGACCAAGCCCTCCTAGCAGAAATGCAGAAGCTTGCTGGCTTGTTAATTGTTGAGACCCTCTTACATGAGATTGCGCGGCTTCTTCGTGCGAAGGGGCGAGGCTCTTGAGATGTTCAGCTCGCTGCCGCTGAACGGTCTTATCGTTTCTGAGCTGATATGTAGTAATGCACGCAGCATCCCTGAGGCAATCGAACAATAGCCGACAGTAGCTTTGGAGCAGATTAGCTGACCGTGATGCTTTGAGAGAAAAAGTGGACCTTTTTTAAGCATGCGCAGCACAGTGGTGAGGGTGATTGTTGCCGGCCAACATCGGACATGTCTCAACAAAACACGGCACTCTTCCGACATTTTGTTTGCTTGATGATACGGACGTATATTTGTCCGATGAGGCGATGAAGCACCACTTCTTCAATGCCTGGTATGAAGAGTGAAGCGCAATGAGTTGATGAGACAGAATTGGCTTGTGCCCGTAACCGTAGAACGGAGACATTATGATGCTGGTGGGAGTGGCAGCTAGTCTTCCTGATTTGTGCAATTGCGCAAGAGTAGCTGCAAGTTTCGATCAGCAGCACGGCCTCAGGGAACTGTCGAAGGCAGCCTGAGCCGCTGCTCACCGTGCCATACCGTGTGCATCCGTGTTCCATAGCTTTAGTTTGCCACAGCCAAAAGTACTGTGGCGCGCGCTGCGGCTTCGCGGAAAATCCATGTGCACCTCACCGCATGGTGATGCTGGCTTCAGAGGATCTTGCAGATTCCATTGTGAACTCTTTAAGCTTGAACCTGCCTCCAACCCCCACGTGCGACTCGGGCATTTCAGCGGCAGCCTTTGCTAGTGACTAGTGCGCTCAAAACCATGGGAGAATGCGATGGTTGACTCTGGCGATATCGAGCCTGCTCTTTGCATCGGTTCAGAAGGGACTCTTCGTGAGGCACTCGCGCGAGAATGTTCAGACAACCGCTTCCTACTGTAGCTTCTGAGCCGCTGCACCAACTTCCAGGCCAGACATCGGGCACCTGCAAACTTGGCGGGCTCGTCTGCGAGTGCCACGCGCGGCCGGCGACGCCGGCGATGACGCCAGTGATGAGCTGCTGCACTGGATCCGCGAAGCGGGGGGTGATGGCGCAGTCAAGCGTGGCTGGATCTGTTAGTTAGCTCCTCCTGCTGCATGTCTCATAAGATCAATGTGCCATAATGTGCTTGAGCCGTGCTCGCACCCAGGAGACGTGGACGCACAAGGCCTGCGCGGCCTTGTGGTGACGAAGCCGGTCCGAGCAGGAGATGTTCTTCTTCAGGCATGAGCCGAAGCTAGTGATCCACAGGCGCTAGGGTCCTGACCAGGTTCCAGTGCAGTTGACTCTAGCCGATGGTTGTGAAGGCTTCCTGCTTTCGGCATCGTTCGCGAGTCACAGCGGCTGGCTGACAGCGTCTCCGACCCACTCAATCTTGCTCCAGGCCCCTCGCAAGGTGCCGTTGCCGCTGGGCCGTCGTGGAGCGCACAGCTGCCTCGGCCTCGGCTGCTCGCAGCCATCTTTTGGCAGGGTTTCCGCGGTTTCTCAACGAGTTTCCGTGAGTCCTGCGCAGGCCTTGGAACGTGCAGCTGGCATTGGGTGTGCTCAGCAGGTCCGTCGGTATCTGTAGGTCTCCGTAGGTAGGTTGCGCTTCACTCGTAACGCCCTGAACTTCTGTTGCCTCTGCTCGTCGCTGCACGTCGCCAGGAGGCAGGATCCGAGCTGGCGCCCGTTTCTAGGTCGAAATCTCGGCAAGGAAACACCAAAACATACCAAAACAGATCAAAGCGGATGTGCTTCACGGGGTGACAGTGAGCAGTGTGAGATTCTTGAAGCCCACTTTCGCCGAGACACCTGGCCACCTGCTCCAACCCTACCCAAAGACATGGAGGATGAGGAGGGTAACAGGCAGTAGCTCCACGAGAGTCCATGAATCGGAGAGTTGTGGAGATTTCACAGGAGCTGGAAGAGGCGCAGGACGAGATGTGGAAATGTGCTGAGATGCCTCTTCCTGTACTCTCAAGGAGCACCTCAGTGAAACTTTGTCAGGATGAGGACTTCGAAGTCAAGGCTTGTGTACATACCCTTCTGACTCGTGGCAGGGAAAAGAACTCAGTGGCCAACTTGGCAAGCAGGCTGGAGGCACGCTCTTCTGGTTAGAGGAGCGCTACGAGGACGGCCACTTCTCAGCTCTCCTTGAACTCGCCCCCGCTGACCCCGCTGCCCCGCTGCGGTGCCACCTGTTGGGTGCCTGTTCCGGGAGGATGCGCTTGCTGCCTGGGAGGCGGCTGAGGCAACAGATCCGAAGATCTTTTGGGGCGAAGAGGACCCCTCTCAGTGGATCTGATCTCATCTGCAAGTCCTGGATTGCTGTGCATGGAGGACTTCCGCTGGGCCATGGCGCATGTGTGGAGTCGATGTTGTCGGTTGGATCTACAGGAACGCGGAGGCCCTGGCTCTGCTTCCCTTTCTATTGTGAGAGCTCGCAGCAGCATCATCTGCTTCGTCTCGCGTTCGTTTTGGCTGCCCTGAATGGACATCCCTTCAAAACCCACAATTGTATCATAGTTATCCCAACCCATCATACGAGCATTGTGCTTACAAATCGCGGCAAGGGGCAGTGCCCCCCCGCCCCGGTCTTTTAAGCCATGCGGGCATCAAGAATGTGGTGCCGTGTTCAAAGCCCCACTCTTTCAAGCCATGCCGCTTGCTTCAGAGAATGTGGTGAGCCACGGCACATTCCTTAAACATCCAAGATGGGGGAGGGGAGGGGCACCTGGCAACCCCCGCTCTGTTAAGTCTGATCCTGAGCTTGCCCCGGAAGCGATCTTTGCCCTGACAGGTATTCGTCGCTTACTGGTCCCGCTCCTAGGCCCTGTCACCTAGGTCTTTCAGAGGCGATGTCTAGCGTTTCATCTGCTGACTTCCAGATATGGGAAACCACGATTCCGAGCCCAGCGCAGTGTTCGACATGGGCAAGGATGGCTGGGCCGTGTGTTCGGGCGGCATTATCAGCAGCTCGTGGTTGGCCTTTTTGCAGTTTACATGCTGTTCAGAGACGTGATCTCAGCAACAGCCTCTCAAGCTACATTAGGTCCTATGCCTCACCAAAAACCCTGTGAAGTCTGCTTTCGGCAGTGGCCGATTGGGGACATGTTGGAGTGCACGATTGGGGGAGAAGCTGTCTCATGCAAGCCAGAGCGCATGGTGGAGGTGCCTCTCCGCCACACGGGATTTGGAACCAGGGGACCCGGTAACATACTCGTATGGCGAGCCTGATGCCCAGATTGCAAGACTGCAAGATTGCTGGGCTGCTGCTTGTGCCATCTTAGTGGCATCATGCATGAGGCATCCGAACGAGCACTTTGCCTTGTACTACGGCGATGGCCTCGGTGCACTGGAGACCGTAGGTCGTCCAAGTAGGTTCCGGCTAATCCCTGTCTGTTGAATGCTTGGATACCTGCCACCGCTTGCACTGGCACACTCGCATGCGAGCGTACATCTTGTCACCAAGCTCTTTGGGCGACAGTGCCGCTTCTAACTTTGCCGCCGTTGTGTGAAAGACGTTGACTACGAGAGAGGGAGAGAGCGAGAGAGAGAGAGGCAGAACGCAAGCAAGTGAACCAGCAAAGCTGTGGAGGGGTGACGGAGAGACCATGCTCGACAGGGAGCGGATGGGAGTAGTCCTTTGACAGTAATTCTACCCTCAAAGGCAGTATCCCTCCCGGAAACTCCAGGGCGTTGGTCAATCGCTAAACCCAACAACGCACGCCTCCGGGCAGCCGTCTCCAATGGGGGCGGGTTACGTGCGCAGAAAGAAAGAAAGGAAAGAGACAGAACGCACTGATTCCGCTTGGCCATCGCGGCCGGATCCAGAGATCTTAAAGGGAGGAGAAGAAGAAGAGGAAGAGGAAGAGGACAAGGAAGAGGAAGAGGAAGAGGCAGAGGAAGAGGAAGAGGAAGAGGACGAGGACGAGGAAGAGGAAGAGGAAGAGGAAGAGGAAGAGGAAGAGGAAGAGGAAGAGGAAGAAGAAGAAGAAGAAGAAGAAGAAGAAGAAGAAGAAGAAGAAGAAGAAGAAGAAGAAGAAGAAGAAGGAGAAGAAGAAGAAGAAGAAGAAGAAGAAGAAGAAGAAGAAGAAGAAGAAGAAGAAGAAGAAGAAGAAGAAGAAGAAGAAGAAGAAGAAGAAGAAGAAGAAGAAGAAGAAGAAGAAGAAGAAGAAGAAGAAGAAGAAGAAGAATAAGAAGAAAAAGAGGAATAAGAAGAAGAAGAAGAAGAAGAGAAGATTCATATTAAATAAACAGAGAGATATATATATATGTATATATATATATATATATATATTATTTTACTTCGAACATCCTCACCCTTTCTGGGCAGAGAGAGATACTCTGGGGTTGGGCACTCCAGGGACAGTCTAGGGTTGTGCACTCCAGGGACACTCTGGGGTTGAGCACTCCAGGGGCACTTTGGGTTGGGGCACTCCAGGGACACTCTGGGGTTGGGCACTTCAGTGACACTCCAGGGTGACACTCTGGGGTTGGGCACCGAGGAGTAGACCGGGCGAGGAGAAGTAGAAGGAGCCGATGTTCCCTGAACTATTTTTGCTCCTTACACCTGCACCAGATGAGTGCAAAACAAGAACGAGGTGAAATTGTCAGCTGTGTCCGGAATGCGCGCACAGAAAGTTCCTGTTTCACCTTGACCATTGTCACTTCGCGTCACGCTTGCTCAGGGTCATTGGCAAGTCCTGGTTTGACTTCTCCGTGTACCGAGGTTTCGTTCCTCAAGCGAACCCCTATGACTACGTCAAAGTGACGTTGACCCAGGCAGTGCTGCTTTGCAACAGCAAGGTCAGGTGCGCAAGATTATGGGGTTTTTGTCAAGGTCCTCGAAAGCCTGACACGTTCCGGCTTTGAAGGCGCAGGGAAGTGGCAGGCCAGACGATTGCCACACCATGACGGCAACTCTTCAGACTGCTTGGGCCAGTGCTTGGGAGGAGGACAAAATGGAGGAGGTAGCTCGCAGTGGCGTTGCGGCACACGGTCTGCGGCTCCGAGCCCTGTCGCCTCCCCTTGGGCTCATGCAGGCCTGCAACAAAGCAGCGCGTTGCCGGAATCTGCTATCTTTTATGTACGTTTTGCGCGGCGCGGAGCGGTGGTACAGAGGCTCTCTTTGCTTTGCTTCCTGGTGCCTCCGAGGCGCCGCGTATTGCTGGTCACTGTTGCATGAGAAAAAGCAGGGGGGGGGAAAATAACAACTTCGGCCAGGCGACGGTCCTCCGTGCAGTTGCCGTTGCTTGTCAGTGCCTGGAGCAAGAGTACCCAACAACGCTTGAGGAGGCGTGGGGCTCGTTTAGGTTCCCAAACCTGGTTGCGCCTGCAGGTTTGTAGGGCATTATGCAGTCCATTAGTTTTTGTCTTCCTGGCCGTCTTTCTTTCATTTTCTTTTTTCTTCCCGAAAAACATACGGCATCCGTCAAAAAGAGAAAGTTTTCTTCTTCATGTACATTTTCTCGCTCTCTCGCCGGTGGGTCCCAGGTGCTCGGAATCGACCTCATCGGGCCATACAAGTAGGGTTTATGGATGGAAAAAGACGAAAGCGGATGCCTGGGCATTCCCCCCCACGGCCAGTACTTGCAACACCTTTGTTTCCCTACTTTTTCCTCTGTCTCTGCAGGTGCAGGAAATACGTTTCCAAATCAGTAGATACAGGAAGCGCAGGCTTTACTTTTGGAGGGTTGAGGAAATACAGATTTCCGTGAGAAACCCTCCCCTCCCCTGCCTCCCCTAGGAAATCCTGGGACCTAAACAATCGGCCTTCCCGGCCCGGGAAAAATCGTAAGGTTTCCAACCGTGAAGGAAGCAGCAGCCTGGAGGTGCGAGGCCGCTTCGGTCAAGATTAGAGAGAGGGGAAGCAGCTCTTTCGACGGTGTGCCGCGGAAGGATTGCTGTAAGTAGCTTGGGGAGAGGAGGAGGAGAGGATAAGGAGGAACTTTCGAACTCCAGCCCCAAGAAGAACAGAAGGAAACGCAACGTGGGGATGGAAGCGGGCCAGCAGAACACGATGAGGAGAAGGCATCGCTTCTCCCTCGCAGAGGTGCTGCCTCCCAGTAAGCGAGGCTTTCTGCAGACTGTCCTGCGAAACGTGAAGACTTGGAAGAGGCTCCTTCCATGCAGAGAGAACAGGGGGAGGGTAGGTAGGCTGCAAAAAGGGCCTGCGCAAAAAAGTTCATCAGTATGGCCACCTGCCTGCTACATGTTGTCTGTATGCCTGTTTTCATCATCACGCTCGGGCCACTCGGGTCTTGGGGAGGCACCTCTTGGACCGCTTTCTCCAATAGATGCACAACTTGAATCAACCTTCCAAAGCTCTGCATGTAGGCCGATGCTTAATTACAACTCCCATTGTGTGCACGTTGCTGTCTTGCACTGAAGCTCGCACATGTTTGGAGGGAGGTCATGTGCATTTCCCTTTCACTTTCAGCCTGCCAATTTGAGACATCGTGTCTACGTAGAGGGTCACGATCCAGTCTCGCCCAGGCTGCTGTCGAGCTGCAACGGTTGCGTAGTGTGCGTGCGCCTGGGTTTAGGGGTCTTCCGGTTTTGGGAGCCTTAGGGCTTCTTTGTGAGCTGGCCCTGGGCCGAAGCCCTGCCCCTACAGGGTGCCGGCTTACGTATGTCTTGTATGTATTCCATGTGCTTTAGGTTTTGTTCTATGTCTTGTGTCATATATGTACTATGCATCATATGTGTTCTGTGTGTTGTATGTGACTGGGACAAAAGTGTGTCATATTTGTATCTGTTATATGTATACTGAAATGCAAATGAACGTCCTATACAATATCCTACCTATATATGCCATCACTGTCATTGAATGGTTTGTTAACACATTTTTTGTGTCAGCAGATAAGATTTAGCAGGTGATTTTTCTCGATTTACGACCGAAAATGTGAGATGAATCTATTATGACAGTTCTGTTTGTACTACACATGCACACCAAAACTACAAGCCTCACGGATGTTCTCGTAGTCCCTGCGCACCAAAGCTGCAAGACATACGGAGGACTTAGAGATTTTTCCGAAGAAAGCCCAGAGGAGCTTTTTTGGAGTATAGAGCAAGCAAAGACATCATCAGAAATTGATTCGATAGATGCTTTCCTGAGCTTTCATGACAGGGACTTGAGATGTCTAAGTGGAATATACGGGACAAAGAGGCTTTCGTATGAAGCAAATTGGTGCGCGGCATGGGTCGCGGAACCACCGAGAAGGCGAGTCGGGATCGGCATGTGCATGCCATCGCAGGACGAGGGCATCCTGGCTTCTCAGTCTGCAAAGGAAGCACTGGCTGCCACTTGCAAGCAGATGGAGAATATTGAGATACTGTCTGTAGCTCTGGTATGCTGCCACAAGGACGGTGTTTTGCTGCTGGTTTGCCTCCCAGACCTTACCACACGCTACTTCGCGTCAGCTTTGCTTTTAGCTTTTGCCAGGTCCAATTGCGGATGGAGCGTAAGAAGCTCTTGCGCAGCTTGCGCCAGAGTATGCAGGTGCGCGTCTGTGGTCGCACGGGGTGCGCTTCCCAGAAGACGGCAAAGCCAGGAGTTGGCAGATGCCTTCGACCAGAATCCGGACCAGGCTCAGGCCCAGCTGCAGGAGCTCTGCGGTGGATCGGCTCAGGGGATGTCACACTGTCAGATCCGATGCCTCGGAGGACTTGTTTGCCAGCCAGGTGCAGACGGTGCAGCCGCAGGTGCGCATCACTTTTTCGGATGCTGCTTGGGCTCTGCTTGGCTGTCCATGGTTGTTCTTCATCCGCGAGTGCGCGCTGTGTGGAGGCAGATGATGTCATGACGTAGGAGATGTCCGATGCGCAGAACCCTTTGCATGGAAAAGTCGGCTTCATCTGCGAGCACGGCCACTAGGAATCAGTGTCCTCATGTATTGGCAAGCTCCTGAAGATCGGCATATGCTGTAAGAGATGGAAGTTCGGCTTGATGACTGTGTGGCTCAAAGCAGTTCTTGCAGTCAGGACACTCGGCAGTGTAAAACTTGGATGCCGTTTGATTCGTTTGACTCCTGGCGTTCTTCCATAGCCGAACCAGACTTAAAGCCACAAGCGTGATGCAAGGTGCCTGGTACCAAAAATCTCTGAAACCTTTCGTAGCGTCGAAGAACTCTTGAGCTATGAGCAGTTGGTCGAGCTTCCTTTGCTTCTTGAACATCTTCCAGCTGGTTTCAAGCAGCAGCGTCACCATTGCCCGACATGAAGCTTGTAGCGGAGAGCACAACCTCGCTCAAGAAGTTTCATCCTGCTTCGTTGGGGAAGCCCTGGGGGAGAGCGTGCGCATCAAGGTATTGGCCTTCAACGCTACTGAGAAAGAAGGCATGCTGCAGCTTCGCGGCACGGGCGTCTCAAACACCGAATGTGAGACCCAGTTTTCACAGGCGGCTCAGGCCATTAGCTTGCGTGAAGCATGCCTGCCAAGCGGCGTGAGCTCGTTGACGGTGAAATACTGCTCCGACCAGGACCGGTGAAAATTGAAAATTCACCAGGAACGCAACACACGGGTTTCCAGGTTGCATCCATGCAAGAAGCCTGCGCTGCCTGTCAAGGACGCCTTTTTGCTGCAAGCGGTGGTGGCAGGTATCCCCACTGACGTCATCTTGGAGAAGGCTACCTGCCCGCAAGCCTCCCTGATGTGCCTCAGCTTCAATCAGTTTGTGCGCAATGCATGTTGTAGGGCAGTGTACCTGTTAAGAGGGTATCCGACACGGCAGCAAACCCGGACTCGGGGTATGTTTGAGATTCTTAAACGTTCAAACCATATGCCCGAAGCCCACAAGAAAGCCAACGAGGAGCACAGAAGCCTAAGCCCTCAAAAGGCAAGAAGCAGGTTGTTCCGATGGCTGTGTTATTGTTTTTTCCACCCTCCTTTTCGAATTTAACTCAGCTATGATCCTGCAGAGCATCCCTGGAGTGTACCTCCAGAGAGCCCCCCCAAAGTATCCCTGCAGCCCACACCAACAGACTATCACTTGAGTGCCCAACCCAGATGATTTCTACAGGGCTGCAGGGCCCATCAAGCTGCTTGAATGTGGGGCGGGAATGTTCGAAGTAGAGAATGCTGACGAGTTGTACTTACTGTAGTTTTGAGGCCCAATGGCTCCTTTCAGTGCGGCACAGTCCAGCTAAGCGGGCGGCAAACAGAAGTAAAGAAGGAGCAGACCTTGAAACCTTGGCAATGTGCCTCAGTGTACCATTCAGTGTACCATTCCCATGGCTTCTCGTGTTGCGATCGTTTGTCCAAGGCAATCCGTGATCAGGCGGGACCGCCCTGTACAGCATCACTTCCATACCACCTGAAGCTCGCGCAATGTCTGTGGCAGCAACAGAAGCAGGTGTCTAACATTGCCTAACACCTTACGCTGTAGGCTTCATTGAGTCCAGAGGCTGAGCGAGGGGTGGAATTGGAATAGCCTACTCTGTCCTGGACATGTTGTCCCTGCTCTAATGTGTAAACCCTCTGGACCATGTTCAGTGTTTTCCGGCTGGGGAATGGAGCGATGAGGTTGCTTGCCATATCTTCCCGGTAGTTTTTTTCAACAGTTGTTTGAATTGAGTTGAACATGGAAGGATCGCACTGTCCACACATAGTCCAAAACGTAGCCCAACATGCTCGCGTGCAGCAGCAGAAGCCAAACAAAACGAACAACATACCCAAGATACCACAACAGCACCCATGTTGCCTAAACCCAGTTTTTCAGAACTCTGAATCCATCCCGTCCTTGCATCATTGCCATGGCCATCTGCTTGTGCTGTATTCCGGGCGAGGACGTTCCTTGGAAGTGTTGCTTGAGTTGGCCAGACAGTCTACCCCCTGAGCTGACAGGATGCCCACAGTGTCGGACTTGGCACACATCGACGCATCGCCTATAGCTCGTACAGCAGAGCAGCATGATGAGCCGACTTGTGTTTCCAAGAACCTGCGGCCCTCATCGAGACGCAGAGCGTCGTGGATGATGACATCGGCCGGCACGACGCAGCCGAGGACAGCTGCAAGCCATATGGAGACCGGCTCTTGGAACTGATGAAGCAGATTCAACACATAGTTATTTTAAGGGGCTGCGCCCATGGGCGGGCAGCACAGGCAGAAGCGCGGGGCGAGCAGTTTCTAAGCATTTTGAGGCCCCTAAACTCCCTTAAAATCTCTAAGCGTTTGAGGCTCCTCAACCCCCTCAAAGTTTCCAAGCATTTTCAGGCCCCTAAACTCCCTTCAAATCTCTAAGCGTTTGAGGCTCCTAGACTCCCTTAAAGTTTCTAAGCACTTTATAAGGCCCCTAAACTCCCCTTTTCCTAGCCCCGGGCTTAGACACATCGCTTATGCCCGCCCTTTGGGGGGCATCATGCTCCTGATGTGCCCCCGGGGTCCCGCCCCGGGAGCCGCTGATGCTCCTGATGCGCGCCTGGGGGTCCCGGCCTGGACCCGCTGATGCTCATGATGCGCGCCCTCTGGGGGCCTCCGTGGCGAGCAAAAAACCACGAAAAAAAAAAACCGTTCACCGGCGGCACGCGGGGGTCGGCGGCACTGGCGTCCGGCCTAATTCTGCTTCGCAGAAGGCCAGAGGCCAGCAAGGCTATTCCCGGGACGACCCGGGCTAAAAGGTCCGCATTTGCTCGGTCCTTTGGGGACCTCGCGCTGCCCGATCAACGGGCTACTCCTATTGTCGGAAACCTCCATATTTAATGGCTACCGCCAGTGCCGCCGACCCCAGACCCAAGACAGTCGCATTGGGGCGGGTGGAAAGGGGGGCGGCGGTGGGGGGTGACGGTAGAGGGTTGGTGTCGGATTAGGGAGTTGGGGGCGGAAGGCAGGGGTGGACTGGGGGGCATAGAGATGAAGAAGCGATGAGAGCGGTGAGAGCGGGGGGGCGGTCGGATGGTGCACGATGGTGGGAGGGGGTAATGATGAGGGCTGGGGAGGGTTGGTGGGAGGGTTAGGGAGTGGGAGTGGGAGAGGGTGGGGGCGGCTGGCGGAAAGGGGGGCCTGACTCATTTGACCAGCTCTGGTGAGAGGGTTGGGGCGGAAGGCAGGGTGGAGCGCGGCGGGTGGACAGGGGAGGTGACGGTTGAGGGTTGGTGGAGTTGGGGGCGGAAGGCAGGGGAGTGATGAGAGCGGGGAGGCGGTTAGGGCGGGCTTGGATTGGAATCCCTCAAACTAGAGATTTGTCAGGGCGGAGTAGGGGGTAGGGGCCTAGGAGGGAAGGGATGGGGGGGGTGGGGGGGGGTGGGGTTTCAGAGTCGAGGGTGGGGGGTTGAGGGCAAAGGGTTGGTGTCAGGGAGGGGTGGACTGGGGGGCATAGGGAGGGGGAGTGATGAGAGCGGTGAGAGCGGTGAGGGCGGTCAGGGCGGGCATGGACTGGAATGCTTAAAACACTAGAGATTGGTCAGGGGGTGGTCGGGCATGCACTGGACCCTTTAAACCACCTGAATGGATGGGGTGGGGGGGGGTCAAAGGTCCAATTCAAGGCGTCATGGGTGAGGGCGATGGGTGGTGGGGTTTGGGCATGCACTGAAGCCAAACAATGCAAAAACACTCCAATTCAAGGTGTCATGAGCAGCATGCTGTGAGAGCGGGTGAGGGCGGTGAGGGCGGTGGGGGGTCTTCACTGACGCCGCCCTGCTACCGCTGGGGTCGGCGGATAACATAGCTCTTCAAGAAAGTGTTCTTTCGTAAGCAGCATGGCCGACACTCTTTACCACAGTACCACATGGCTCTTTCCAAGTCCGGGTTCGCCACGCGTGGTGGGGTGCAGGTGCGCTGGCCCCGCATGGAGCTGCCAGGTGCAAGGGGGTTTAAGTATGGGTGGAGTCAGGATGATCTTGGCATCTGATGCTGGGTAGCTCCGTGCAGTTTGTTTTTTATGATTATGATTATAATTGTTGTTGCTATTACTATCATCATTTTTCCGCAGAAGCTCTTGTGCAGGCCCACTTCAGGGAGCCAGCTTTGTCGTGGGAGTCGATTCCGCACCCGACGGAACACCTCTTGGCTTGACGCTTGCACCATGGCCTCAAGAAGTTTTTCAAGGAGGATCGATCAGTTTCCATTCGACTTCGAAAGCTAGTATCAGCTTACTCTTTCGGAATTTCCATGTCCATGCCACTTTTGCGCTCCGAATATGGTCCGGCCTAATATGATTTGCCTGGCAGGGACTTGACAACTTAAGTTCCCGCATAGCCCTGCCATCCAGCTGGGCGTGGGTTGATGACAGTAAGGAAGAATGACCGTGCATTGCGAGGGCCCGCGGCAACCACTAGCGTTCATTGCCCCACTTGCCGCACTTGCCCCACTTGCCCCCACTTGCGGAAGAGCTAATTGATATTGCCCCACTTGCCTCACTTGCCCCACTTACCTCTCGCGCCCCAGCCACAACTCTGCCCCTCGAACAGACTTGCGCAGTCATCCCCCTCATCGGCCGGTCCAAATAACCACGACTCTGCCTCACCATCAGCCTAATGTGAGGCATGTGGCAGAAACGTGCAGATGGGGCAAGTGGGCAAGTGGGACAAGCGGGGGCAAGTGGCAGAAAACACGTAGCGGCGGAGGCGGCGTGGGCTTTCACGCGCGTTGTGGCAGTGCTTCGGCGGTTGCGTCAGGGGTATGGCGCTGTGTGGCGCGGGAGCCTGGCTAAAACATTCGAGTGGTACAAGTGAAGTCACGCGCGATTTCCTCATCCACCTGTGTTGACCCGCAGATCCAGCAATGTACACTCATCCCGGTTCATACATTTCTCACCATAAACACCTGAAGTCGTGCGTCTTGCGGCACAGTACTGAGGACTTTATGGATGCAAGCGTGCCTCGGCTTCTGGCGACGTTTTGGTAGTCCATTCGCCTAGGAGGAACCTTTCAAAGCCCAAGGGGGCATTCTTGGGCTTTTCACCTAAGGCATGCATCGTCGCCCGTGTGAGCAAAGGCTCCCTGATAGATGCTTGGAATTCGAAATGTTGTGGCCTCTGCTTACAGTGCCCCAAGTTCCGGCCTCCTTGGTGTGTGGCCGAACGCTGAGGCACGCCGAACGAAGTGGTGCGACCACGTGACCGGCTGATCCAGGCGTGTCTGTGTTTCGATGCTGTCGCAGTCAGAAGCACTCCTTGTGCATGTTCAAAGCCGGAAAAAGGCTGCCACATCTTGCAATCCTGGTGTCGCCAGGTAAATGGAATCAGCGCAGACACGGGTGAAGTGGTGGCCCAGAAGTTGGCGGCTGCTCTGCACGGGGGCCGAACCCATGCATTGCCAGATTCCCATTCCGGACGCACACAGGTTGCATCGTTCAACGTTGCAGGCCGAAGGCCCACACCCCTGTACTACTCTCTACCCACTCAGGCTGAAGTTCCAACATCCAGTCGCTGAGGCCTTAATGGACTTGCGTGCTGAGCAGGCAAAGTCCAGCAAAGTTTGTCGTGAGCTCGATACCCATCGAACCTCGCTCGAGACACGAGGTTTCTAGCGTGAGCATCAAGAAGGGCCCCGACGTTTTGGGGCTGAATTTGCACTATGCCTCGGAGAACCCTCTAGGTCCGCGAATCGGTTACGGCCCAGGGACCTTTGGCAATGCGGTGGGTGGCTTGTCCAGGCATTTAGTGGCTTTCTTGCGGCTTGGATCAGGTGGAATATGCGTAAAGAGCATCACTGATGGGGTGGTGAAGGCCAGATATGTGTGGCCCCCTCACTGCGTCGCGGTGGTTGACAGCTAGACTCAGATAGACAGGGAGAATGAATGAAATGTTGGCCTGCCAGACACATGCATTGAATATCAAAGCGGGCGACCGAATCGTGGAGCTTAATGGCCAGGATCTGTGACAATCTCAGCGATGCCGAACTCTAGATTCCGTTTGACATCTGTCCTTGTTTCGAGGTACCTGAATGTTTCCATCTTCTGGTCAGACCATGTATGCACATGGAGTAGCCCGCACTCAGGGACACGCCAACAATGCTGCAGAAGATCCGAGACCTGGAGGAGTTTGCTTGGAGAACTGTGTGGGGGAACAGACAGACCGAGAATGCTCGATGAAATTGGTAACAAAGCCGAAGTACTTGTGAGGAGTTCAGCCTCACAGTGCTCTCTTGGCCACCACGAGAAGGTGTGGGGCCAAGGGTTCCACCAATCTGCCGTGCCATTCCGTGCCACGCCGTGCCCTGGCATGCTTCTGTGGGCTTCCAGGTCACGACATTACTTGAGATATTGTGCCTGCAGTGCAGTGTCCAATCCTATGATGGACGCCGCCCTTTCCGATTTTCCTTTCTTTTGTGTGTCACCAGAATCGGAATACAGCAGCAGCACCGCGAACGCGGACACTTCGTAGCGGCTGTTTCGCCCTTGGCCAGGCCATGAGTGCGGGTGGTGAGCAGCCTTTGCAAATGTCAAATCGAGAGTTGCATCCTGTTTTCGGATGTGGAAGACCAACAAAAGGTCAAGCCATGTGCTATTCGGCCCGCCAGTGTCTGTGTGTCCCAGCGTGAACGTGACCTTGCAGAATTTGGCTGTGTAGTTCCCCGACTGCTCCTGACAACCGATGAGTTCGTGTGAGAGCAGAATGGAGCAGACCTAACAGAGACCTAGCAGAGACCTAGCAGAGACCTAGCAGGCGACACCTTGCAGCGGACAGGTGTTTGGACACTTTGTCTTGCATTGAGACCAGCTAAATCTCAGACTAGGTCGGAGTGTCATAGCAGCACATCGTTCGAGATTCATAGCGGATCAAGAATGGCACCTCTGCAGTGGCGACACTGTCACGGCCTATTGCATGTTCTGGCAACTCTTTCGTTGTCCTTCTTGGCGGGCTATGCCGATGTGATCACTTACATGCGCTATGGAAGCTTTGCAGCCAGCATGACCGGGAATGTCATCTTTGCTGGCAGGGAGCTGGCCAAGTGCTCCTGGTCAGATGTACTTTTCTATCTGTGCGTCATGGCCTCCTGGGCCACGGGTTCCGCTATGTATACTGAGATTCAGAGGATCTGCCCACGCAGGGGTGGATCATGGACTGCCGTCGTGGTGGCAGTGACACTTCAGAGCTGTTTCATATGACTGTGTGTTTTTCCCTCGCAGAATTTAGGGTTTACAGTAGGGGACCCCTCTTCGTTGTTTCTGCTTGGCTTGGGGCTGGGGACCGACTGAAGCTCCGAGGATCTCCACCGCGGTAGATGTTGCGTACAATCTGAGTGACCGCGGCCACTCGCCTCGCTGGTGGATTCTTGGGCTCATCCCAATCTTCGGCGTAGCGGAGGTGGGAAGCTCAATGTGTTCGGCTCAAGAGGCTTCGCAACGCGTCGCGCGCTTGAACTTTCCGCTGCTTTGAGGCCTTCGCGCTGCAGAACCTGAGTCTTCCAACGACCGGTGTGGCCAAGCACCTTTTCAATGTCTCAAGGCTTTACGAGCTGCTGCGCAAGGAGACTGTGGTCACTCTGCGCGAGGATGTCATGCTCAGTGCCATCGTGTGCCCGGACACATCTAGGATAAGATTTGTCAAGAGACTGTCTGCTCGACAATGGCAATTTCTCAGAGCATTTTACATTGTGCAAGTTGACGACTGCTTCATAGTACTCCCCACAAGCCGTCATAAATTGAGGTTAAGTGGTATGATTTGTGGTGCAGTGCTGGGGGAGCGTTTGGTGGCGACTTTTGGGCTGGAAGTGCGATGGTGCTTCATGCCAGTAGCACCGCTTGTGGCCGTCGCAATCTGCGTACACGAGTCCGAGCTGCACATCGCATGTTACAGCCCGGCAACTGACAGTCATTAGGTCTGACGGTGTCCGACTTCAGCATGCTCAGGAATGGCTCCAGGCAGATTCGATTTCTAATGAGAGCGACGATAGCGAGGAAAGCTCTTGAAGGCCTCCAAGTTATTTCTCGACATGTGGCAGACCAAAGTGTCTCGCCTCCGCAAGGAGCAGTGAGCTTCTGCTTGTTTTAGACTCAGAGAAGATGGCCCATTGCCGACATCTTCACGTGGACAAAGCTTTTGCGCGCTGGATGGTCAACCTAGCAAAAGAGTTCCTCTCGTCCATGAACGAAATGATGCTGCATGTATAGACCGACACCGGAAATGGACACCGTCCCTTCCTGAACTTTCGACATCTTCCATTGCAGTGAGAACATCGTATAAGCAAGCACGGTTTTGCCCAAGTCTCTTAGTTTCCATTCCAAGCAGGCTTGGGAACTGAAGGCTGGCGACTGTACTGTAAATTGGCCTCCATGAGCAGGTTTGGGCGGCGCAAAGGTGGCTGTGCCGGAATGTGGCTTGTAAGAAGTAGGCCCAGCTTCAGCTGCTCCTTCCCCGTTCGCTCTGGGCTTTTCTGGAATGGTGAAGCTTGCCGTTTTCGACGCCTTGTCTCTGAGCGCCTTTGAATGGGGTAGTGAAGTCTTCTGTGGCATGTCGCGGGCCATGGCAGGCCAGGAAATGCAAGTTTTGAAAGCTTCTGAAGTCAAGTCGCTGTGCAAAGACTACTGCTTTTTTTTGCTGCCATGCGGCGGGGGTTCCGGCGAGGTGAGGACCTGGGTCAGCCACTCTCGGCACGGTCGGACGGCGAGATCCCTGGCTAGTGCATGCTAGTGCCAATGCAATCATGGTGTATAACGTGCAACGCACCCGTGCGGAGGCCCTGCAAGTATGCAGCAGCCAGGCAGCACTAGTCATAGATCGCAACTTTGCGGCAAGTGCCTGGCAGCAAACATTGTGCAATGCCGGATTGTGGAGTCGGTGTAGTCGCCCCACTTCAGGCCTCTTTGAGGGTCAAAAAGGGCTGAGAGGGTTGAGGTTGAGGTGATGAACATCGGAAGCCAGAGGCAGAAAATGATGCGGCAGCGTGAGCTGGTGCTGAAGAGACAGACGGAGGCAGCAAAGTCTTTTGGGGTGCGGCCCCGAGCTGATGCGCCCAAGTGTACTGCAGCACTCCACCACTTGCACCGAGTGCTTGCAAGGTTGTTGCTCAGCAGCATCCACCTCCGCCACGCCCGGCAACTGACACACCACGCCAGGCCTTGCCTGTGGAGAGCTACTGATTGCTGTGAGAAGTGGCAGCTGGTAGCACTAGATGCGCACAGGAGCGTGCCGTCATCAGGTGCTGAGTGCCAGGGGTCCACCTGAAGCACCGCGAGTCGGTATCGCTGCGGCTGAGGTGCAGGTGCTGCAATCTAGCCCAAGTCGCTCTCTGTTTTCTGTTTGCGTGATGTATCGAGAGAGTGCAGAGATGCTTTGATGCAGGCCGAGCCCGAGGAGCAGACAGCGGCCGACGAGTGCCAGCAGGCCTCCGCATGCTCTCGCAACGCGATCTTTTCTTCGGCAGAATCCTGGTGAGAGCTTCTGCCCAGGCACACTCGCTGGAGTATTCCCTGGAGGAGGTGCTGCTTGCAAGTGGCCAGGCGAGAACCAGGGGACGAACCTGCACTGAACATGCCCAGGGCGACTGAAACGCTTGATTATATAACGCCCCCTCTTTTCAGGCCATTGAGCGGGAGGCTGAAGACCGGGGCCCTGACCACCTGGGACACGGACTGGCGCTCGGCTTTCAGCTGTGCTACTGGGTACGCTGTGCTCACATTTGCCTACATCCGCTCGCCAAAACACACCACACACCTCAGAGTCAGCGCTTCGAGGCTGGGACCTCGATGTGCAAAAAGGCAGTGGCGATGCTCTTCTGCCGTGCAAGGGGGTCAGCGACCGAGCGCAGGTGCGGACGACGGAAAGCCCCGCGGCAAGAGGAGCTTCTGGCGACCCTGGAAAGCGGAGCACAGTGCCGTGCTCTGCGTGCCAACTCGTGTTTGGGAGCTCCCTGAAACCACAGTTTCACGTGCCTGGACGCAACAAGGTGAAGCAGACACTTGGCTGCAGACTTGTGGATGTGCTCGACGAAGCAATGTTGCCCACGTGGCGACGGGCCCCCGTGCATGTCTTGGCAGCTCTGGCTCAGTGAGTTGCTTAAGGTGGCAACCTGTCCGGTTGATGAGGTTTCACGTGTCCCGGCAACCATCAGCAACCGGTCAGTTTCCGCACAAGTTCCAAAGACTGGAAATCCAGTGTCTCAGAGTGTTCCAAACTTCCCTTGGTGAGGCATGGAGCTGGATGCCATGGGGGCAGAATCTCCTGAGCCGAGTATCGGGGACCTGACACTTCCCTGCAGTTGGTTAAATAACAGCGGCCAGGGCGCCCTTGCCACCAAGGCAGAAAGTAGTCTTCAATTGGCACAACCAACTGGGAAGCGGGCGCATCATCCCAAACCAAGTGAATTGCAGACATTGGCTAAGACACTATATGATGCATGTGTTGAATGTTTGGCACATGTGGAGTGCTTTCAACATACCCATCCTTGGGAATGTGACAAACACAGGGCCCTAGTTTGCAGAGGAAGATCCACAAGGGGTCACTGCGCTTCCATGACTCACTACCCAATAGAAGGAGACGTCCCTCTGACGTTCCTGCTTGTGGTCGCTCTATGTATCTTCAAACCAAGTGGTCCATGGTTTTCTATTCGCCGTTGTGTCTATAGACATGTGAACTTCACATGGAAGGCGGACATTAGCATCGCTTTCTGGTTCAGCTCTTGCAGCGAGTGATAGCTGTGCTTGCGTGCCAGTATGGCAGTACCATGTCACATCACACGGGTGAGCATGTTAAATCCATTCTTTCTATTCACAATACACCTTTTTTGCACCTTCTCATGTTCGCACAGAGCCGCAGTACATGTACATGTGGTCTCCAACTGTGGATCCAGCGCACCTTGTCCCTTGGGTCCTAAAACCCAGAAAGAAGTCCGCTGTGCAAGTTAGAATGTCCTAGCAACATCAAGGGCTTTGCCCCTTCCCACTATGCTTAGTCTGAGACAAGGCGCAGTAGGTGTAAGTAGTAAATCGTGGTTACGTGGGAAATCGAGAGGCTTTCGGGGTTCTTTGAACATGTTCCGGCTTGCGCATGAGCTGTACGACGAGCCGGCGCTGCTTTTGCTTCAGCCAAGGAAGCGGGTGGGCTTTGGAGACATGCAGGATGGAAGATGCCTCAGAGTGCACAGCGATGGCAATGACTGGTGCAGCTGCGATGGCAGAGATTGTTGCTCAGGAAACCCTGCATCAGGGGCCTGGAACTTGGTTGCCCAAATTGTCTTAAGTGGCTCTTGGGATGCCTGCAAGATTGCGCAGGCCACATCAGCACTAAACATGGGTCGTGTCGCAACCCCATGGACGGGCTCATCCAAGGCCCCTTCTGAAGTTCGCCTTGGGAGCACCATGTTAACACAGACTTGACAGGACATAGACCCGCTGCTCCCTGGAGAACTCCACCCGGAGCGAGACAGCAAGTTATTGGCACAGAAACGGGGAGCAGTAACGGAGCTGCTTTTGGATTTCAGAGTTGGCAATGAATCGGGCTCCGGTTTCTGCTCTCCCAAGAGACTTCTGCAGGACATGGTGTGCTCGGAAGCCCTCTTCGAAATTGTGGAAGAAGGTGGGGCTGGACGCCGGCACGTCATTTCTGCTTCTGAAAAATGTCAGGCAGCACATCATATCACTTCAGCCTTAGTTTGGAACATGTTTTGCAGCTGCCCGCCTGGCCGAGACCTGGTTCAGGTGTGGCTTAAGGATCTCTTGTGAGTGCCAACCTTTGCCGCCCAGTTATTTTAGAAGCTGCAGCAACTACGCTTTTTGCTGGCACGCCGCTGCAGCATCATGGCCCAGATGCTGGATTTGCTCGCAATGCAGTTAGTCTCTTGTACGGAGGCGCGCTGAACCAAGCAGTGCATTCCTCCGTGGCAGTTGCAGTTGCAGTGCCCCACCTGGCGTTGGTACACCAACCAGCCAGCCATAAAGCAGCAAGGTGGGGCAAGGCTTAGCTAGTTAGGTGCGCCTATCTCCCAAGGAGTATGGCAAGGTTAGATTCTGCTCTGGTCTGCTGCCCTGCTTGTCCCAAATCATACTTCACTTCACAGTCGGCACTTGCAGTGCGTCTTGCTCGGTAGCAGTCCAAGGCACCGGCAAGATCCAAACAATCAAAGTTTAGAGTCCAGGTAGATGACCCCCATGGAGCGCATGCGTTGGTCTTTGTTGCGGCTTGATTCTAGGGGGGGTCATGTGTGCCAGGACTGAGCATGCACACGAAGGTGTGCCGGCCGCTGGACACTCGATATCTGTGCCTAAGACAGGCCAGACTTTGCACAGTTCTCCAGCCTGCATTTCTAGACTTCGGCCTGTAGAGACAGCTGGTTGCCATTCGTGTAAGCTTGTACATCATAGCAATGATAGCGGCTACATGGTTCAGTTTGTTGTGGCTTCAAGCCTTGACTCAGGGATGCTCAGGGCTTTGTCAAGCCTTCCCTGCAGACGTACTCTGCTTTGCGGGTCGAGCTGTTCTGCCAATGAGTGCCAGAATACAAAAAGTGAACTCTGGCGAGCGTTTGGACAGTGGTTTCCAGCCCCCCAGCCCCTAACGTGCCAAATTTGCGCTTCCCAACATCCCAAACATCCGGTGGAAACAGTGCTCGGAAGCTCTTGTCGTCATGCCGTTTACAGAACAGCTACAGCATGCTACAGCTACAGAGCTGCGCTCCGAACCCCAAGGAAATTGACAGCAGACGCCGGGCGAGCGGGTGTAAGGCGGTTTCAATAGCCAGTGAACATACTCGACGCGTGCCTGGGGTCATGGAGTCATGGCGCAAGCAGCGGATCATCAGCTCCTGTCGGGAGTGGTTCGCGGCTTGCAAGCCAGCAGTGCCCGCAATCGGCATGGACCCTCGGCTCTCGGAACAGTGCTGGAACGTACTAAGGACACACTAAGCTTAAAGCATGCTGGAGAGAGGTCTCTTTTTGAGGGCACACACACAGAGGCCAGACGTGGGAGGAGTGGCTGGAGGCGGCGGTGGAAGCAAGGTCTTCCGGCGCTGCCAGGGATCCAGGAAGGCTGGGCCTTGCAGACTTTGGGTCCTAAGCCCAATGGGAGAGCAGACTTTGGGTCTCCAAAGCGACCCTTTTTTTGGGGTTTGTGCGCCTGAGACTTGGGGTCTTCCTGTGGTAGGCATGAGCTCAGCACCTTGAGAGCGTTCCTGGGAGAGTGTGGTGCTGGAGACATGGGCAGCGATGTGCTGCGGAAGGATCGAAAGAGGAGGAAGGCCAGGTGCTGTTGGACAGTTCCAGAGAAATCGCCCGAATTTCAACAAGTGACCAGACACAAATACTCACGAGTCCAGTCACGGGCCCTTCTGCGCTTAGATTTCAGCTTCGTGCGCGGGTCTTCGAGCCAGACCCGAGCCAGCCAGCTTCTTGCCTAGGCACAGTAGGTTTGAGCAGTAGTTGTGTGGCTCGCGCCAGGCGGTTTCGGCTGTAACCCATGCACGGGGCAGGAAGAGAGTGTCGAGCCTTGCAAGATCAAGATTGGGGGCGGGGTGGATTTGCACAGGGGCTCGCTCATGCCCAAGTGACAGCGCAGATTTTTGCACTTCTGATTGTTCGGGGGGTGATGGACCGTGCCCCGATCGGGAGTGCCCCAGGGTGTGGTGGCAGTGTGGTGACGGTAGGTCTTGACTAGACTCCGCACTCTGCACCCTTTGAAGCATATGATGGAGGCAATGGACTTCCTGAAAGAAACCCTCGACAAGGAGGGCCATGTGGGTGCAGAAGGTGGCACAAGCGGAAAGCATATGCAGTGACGGAGTGCAGGGTGCAGTGTAGTCATGCCACGAGGTGTGCCAAGTGCCGCCCGACTGATGCGGCTGCTCGAGCTCACAAGAGCTCACCCAAACTTCGGCCTGTTCTTTGGCCGCGCCGGTCTTGGTGCTGAAGGCTGGATGAAGCCGCGGGCAAAGAGTGCTCCGGAAATTCTCAAGGCGGAGGACGTTCTCCTTGCGGTGGATTGTGAGATGGTCTCCACAGATACTGAGGAAGACGCGCTTGCCAGAGTCTGTGTTTGCAATGCTCGGGGCGAGCTGCTCCTTGACAGGCTGGTGCAGCCGCATGGCAGGGTGACGGATGCACGAACCAGTATCACCGGCATTGAGGCCAAGGACCTAGCGACGGTGGACTACAAGCGCGAGGATGCGCAGGCAGATCTCCTTGGCCTGATACATCCACTGTCTGTCGTTGTGGGTCACACCCTGCACAAAGACCTGCATGTCCTTCGGCTCGACGTGCCTATTGTCCTGGATATCTCCCTTCTGCAGCTTGGCATCTCAGCGGTTTACCTGTTTGCCAGAACCCAGAGATCTGCACGCTCGGACACTTTTGTGCCACGCCTAAGTGTTCACTAGTTGTTGATCTCATGAATCTCATGTGCCTGCATGAGAAGGTATGGTGTGGAGGGTCAGCCAAAGCGACGACCCTCGTTGGCACATCTGGTGCAACACATCCTTGGACAGGAGGACTTCCGTGCCGGTGGAGTGCACGACTGTGCCCAGGATGTGCTTGTGACGATGCAGCTTGCCTTGCAGCGCCTGAAGGGCCCGCGCTCCAAAGAGGTTCCAGCAGTTGTGTGGGTGCCCCCGCCTCTGCTGAACGACTCAGACCTGCAGGCAAGGACACTGTACCTACATCGAATACCGCGGCGAGCGGAGGCGTTCAGCGCCGTTGCCAAGCTCTTCACCTCCTTGCCCAGTGCTCGCGTAGAGTGCATCCAAATGGTCTTACCCGAGGGGCAAGCGGGACAAGCGTCTTCACTACAAGGGGCTCGGGCCGTGTTCTCCTCTGCGGATGCTGCGGAAGCAACTTTTCTGGCACTCATCGCCGAGTCCGTCGAGGTTGACAAGGCAGGGGGATGATGGGGATTGCCACGAATTCCTGGTAAAGTGCGCACCTTGCGAATTTTGTGCAGACGGGCAGCCGGCGTGTCATTTGGACTGCCGGGGAATCTCGGATGTTACGCGTTGACTTTTTTGTGGCGGCTCGGGTGTCCCCTTGATCCCCCTGCTCCTGCGCTCCCGTGCCCACGTGGTCCCGGCCCTCTGGTCCTCTGCTGATCCGGTCCCCTTGGTCTTGCGGTGCTGTGGTCCTCTGGTCCTTAGGTGGTCCCCTGGTCCCTTGTCCCAAGCTTGCTTCGACCGCATACGCCAAGCCAAGCAAACTTGCTTCACAGCATATGAATCCCTACCAAACCTGTCATGCGAGCATTGTGTTTGCAAATGGGGGCACTAGGTTACTTCCAAGAGCATATGAGTTTTTTTTCAAACCTACCAAATGAGCATTGGGTTTGCACATGGGGCACTAGGTACGTCTGTGTCAGTTTTTGCGACTGGTTTGACCAGACAGGCTGAACATGGCTTTGTTGAACAAGCAAATCCAGAGCCAGCAAGCTGTGAGTAACACCTGGAGTCATGTCTCAGTCCTGCCTCAAGGTGCAGAGGCCGCAGAAGATGGTGCGCATTCACTTCGAAGACCGCGATGCCTTGATCTGCGTTCGGCCATGTCTGGGTGGAGTTGGCAAGGCCTGCTTGGCATCCGCTGCAGTCTCCAATGGTAAGAGACGCTCCGATCCCGAAGCATCCGACGTGGCCCCAAAGTCAAAAGCCAAAGCGGCACGCGTTGCCAAGGCCGGGGGGTTCAATTCGCCAAAACAATCTCTGGGCTTGTCCGTGTCCTTTTGGCCGATAGAAGGAAAGACGTACAGTGCGAAAGCCACGTGCGGCTGTGTTGCTATCCTGTGCTACAATACCCTTGGAGATCTTTCAGCCACTGCTCTTGCCGGCTATGTTTCCTGTGTACCCAGCCAAAAAAGACCTCCCAGACTTCGCAATACCTTTTTTGATGCTTTGCCTGATGCTCCCCTGCCCGTTCTCGAGGGCTGGCCGGGGTGGCGGCGGGCGGCCGAGGAGGCGCTCAGGGACTCTGGCGGCTCGGCACGCTGGAAGGACTCCACACATCGGGGAGTTTGCGAAAATAGGGGACCCTTAATATTTCAGGTACCCCTACTATCCAAAACCCCCATCTACGAACTGAGGTGATCACAGACCTGACCCCAAGGTTTAATTCAGTCCTTTCCACGACGACCCTCTCTCCCGGGCGATGCTTGGTGCATGTCCGCGCGCTGCGGCAGGACCTGTTGGAGGCCATGGTGGCGAGGCGCCGTGAGCAGGCATGGCTAGTCACCGGTCACTGGTGCTGATGTGTTCAGTGCAGGGAGAATGACGTAGACAAGTTGAGACTTCAGTTTTCACCTCCTTCTGGCCAGCAAGTACCAGGTCGGAGGCCGGCCCGGTGAAGCAGAGGAGCCGCGGCACCTGGGCTTCTCACATGCTCGGGCCACTGACCCCTGCCCTGAATCCTTTGAAGGAGAGCCGACAAGTCCTCGAGCTGCGCGCGCTTGCGGCCTTGCCCGAGGACAGGCTTAGCAGGCTGCATGAGAGCTTTGCGGTGCTCTGGGAGCATGGCGAGGAGTCTAAAGTCTAAATTCCGTAGGAGTATCTCAACGATGCCGATCCGATGGTGCGCTTGCCGCATGCCACCCAGGGCAGCTGATGTAAGCGCCGTGAGGAAAAGGGACCTGCAAGATCGTGCATGCGCAGAGTGTGAAGCCACAGCACGCACGTGCCAATGAGAAGCTGCGCTGGCAAGTGCCCTTGTTACAGAGCCCCTTTCGTTGCTGCATGTCATTCCAGAAGTTCCACAAGTTTCGCCCTTCAGTGTCGAAGCAAGATGCTATGACATTTGCTGTGGTAGAAAGCTACTCGTAACTTGCGAAGCATGTTTGCAGTGTCTATGGTACCAGACATCTTACAGAAGAAAGACGGGGTGGATGCCGATTGCCGCGCTTTCCGGGCAGCCTGGCCGTGAGAGCTTCCACCTTGGACCGCTGCCTTGCAGCGCCGACCCATCAACGAGGCCTGGTGGTAACATAGGCGTCGTAATAATTACGAATAGTATGCCCTTTATGGTCCCTTTATAAATGTACTACAATAACCCCCCGAAACCGTGTTTGTCCTTTTGTTTTTGCTCCACACTTCTCCGGAGCGACGTGAGCCTCGAAGGACGCCCAGAGTGGAGCCCAGGTTAAAGGTCCAAGGCATTCCCCTGCAGTGAACTGCATGGCAGCGGCAGCGTTGATGGTCGTGGCCATTGGTGGCGCGGGAGGTGGATATGGGTCACATTCGGAGAAGTCGTTAGCTGGTACAATCGGATGTGCAGAGGCGAAGTGGCCAAGTCAGGCGAGTTCCAGAACTGCGTCATGGAACTTGTAGTTCGCTGAAAGGGGCGTTCCAAGAAGATTGGCTTCCTGTCGAAACTTCGCATCGGGGCTGCACCAATTTCCTTAGGGCCTGCGCCAATTGCAGTAGAAATAGTTTGTGTCGGCTTTTTGCTTGCTTTGGTTCTTTTCTTGTGACGCTCCCTCGGGCAGATTGCGGCACGTGCTTCAAAGCCAAGACCGGCAGCCGCTGTTGCGCAGAGCCGTGCGGCCGCAGGACTTTCGGGGGGTATTCGGACAAGTCGCCGAAAGCATGCAGAACCCGAGGGTCGCACCGGACTTCGCAGGACTCCGGCCATGCGCCACGTCCACCACCGTCTCAGCTTGTTCGAGCCAAGTCTGCCCTGGAGCCTTAGCTTGAAGTTTGCGAAGGCGTTTTCCATGTGGCATGTGTTGCTCGACCAGCATGTGTGCTGCAGGCGATGTGACATGTGTGCATTCATGTGTTCGGAAGGATTTGATGCACGCTACCATCGTTGACATGCAGACCTCCATCCCTTCACTGCGCAAAGCTCTCGCATCTAGCTGTGGTAAGAATGGCCGCGGGTCTCTGTCACGTGCCGCGAAGTGGCGTGACATTGAGTAGGCACCTCCCCTCGCGGCTCCCGACTTGGAAAATGAATGAGAAAGGTCGCCTGCGCACAGAACTTGCAGCGAGCCATTTTGGCGTGTTGCTTCAAGCATCTTCCGCTTGATGATGCCGGTGCTCGCAGCAGCACAGTGTGAGTCATGCAAGTATCCCACGCAGGTGTGTGAAGGACATTCGATAGATGGACTGTGTCAAGCTAGTCCTGAAGTTTGAGTGGCACGATAGAGATGGCAATGTCGGCGCGCCAACGGGCCGGCAATCTCTTAGGCCAGCCAGCCCACTTGGGCTGTTTTGTCCATGCCGACCACCTGCCAATACCAGGTGGTAGAGTGGTCGTTTAACGGTTTAACTGTCCCATTTCCAGCGAAGCCCCACAGACATCTTCCGGCTGTGACATTCTCATAGGTTGTTTTGCTGAACATTACGTCTCAGCGAGTCTGAGAAATGTGTACCGGTACGCGCGCTGGCTGGAGCCGTTGTCTACGATGTTTCCGATACGTTCAAAAGTCGGGTTCCCCGAACATTGCGACCCGAAGCCTGCAGTTACCCCACAGATTAGCACTGAAAACATGGCGGTCAAACACGCATGCGCAAAAGGAAGGCTCCTAAGCTTTCCAGACGAATGTCAGAGCTTCCGCGGGAAAGACAATTGCCGAAGACTTGTCTTCCGGAAGCCTTTAGACTGTAGCCACCCCGCCAGCCTCTCGCCATGCCGTACTTAAACAGATCGGCCACTCCGTCTACATCCTTGGCAAGACGCCCCAGCGATGCTCATGATGCCGGTAAGTGCGCACGGGTAGCACGAGCGTCATTATGATACTCACAAGTCAGGCGCAGCAAAGAAGAAGTCACAACAGAAGGCAGCAAGCAGCCGCGGATGTCTGGGTTTGACTGTGCTGTCGACTGCGTAGATGGCTACCCCTGGGGCCACACACGCCTTCTTTCGATGGCCTCATCGACACCTGGAGCCATGGGTGGTGAAAGCTCTAGGGAGTCAAACAGCTTGGGTTGGGCAAGGGTCAGGGTGAATCGTTCGACAAACGAGCCAGGTTTGGAGAGGTCAAGATGGACTTCGTGGGTGCGGAGACGACGATGCGCAATACACCCCGGGCTGCGCAGCAGAAGCGTGCGCAGACCCCTCCCAAAACCATGCCTGTCGATGCTGCTCACTTTGGGGCGGGGCAAGGGGAACAAGGGTAGGGGTTGGAAGGCGCGCGTGGAGAACCTCAAAAAACCATGGGATTTACGATGATTCCAGCGTTTTTGACCGCTTCGGGGCCACGTGCGAGTGCCGCTGATGCTCATGATGCTCACCTTGGTTTGGGCTTCCGGTGCCTTGAAATGCATGGCTTGGGTGATAGGCCGCTCGGCGTAAATAGGGCCGGAGGGTTGCCGGACGCCCTCCGACACGTTTGGCGGCCCTCGACAACCGTAAAACCATGTTTTTCTTGGTGCCTGTTGCACCATGAAAATGTTAACTTCACGCGTGTCCTTGTAACTTGCTATCATTTATAAGGTTCTTGTTCGCTCTTCAAGCCCGTATTGACTAATGGTCTAGTTTCTGTTCCAGGGCATGGACACCTTGGTCCGTCAATGATTTCTTGCCTGTCTTCATCGTTCCTCCCTGTCTTTCTGGTAGCTGAAGGGCATGGGTTCTAAAGGCTGTTAGGCACAGGTCCTGTCTTCACAGGTGGCGGATGTTTTGGTGCTGCTTCTATTCCCTGGTTGCTGTACTTATTGAGTGGGTACGTACATGGCAGCAGGCAAGAAGACTAGGCTTGTAATTATCAATTGGCCCCTGGGGAGCACTCCGCGACAAAGGTTTAATCTTAAACCCGGCCGTGCGACAAGCGGACAAGGGTTTGTAACAGGGGGTAACAGGGGGTCTGCGGCGACCCCGCGACAGACTGACCAGACTACAGACAAAAAAGGTTTGAAGGGGTGAGACAGCCCTTTCGTTAGGTCCATGCACCTTATGCTCCTCATGTGTCCTCCAAATTGGATACAGATAATGGCAACATATTTCTGCCTGTAGTCATCACCCTGCTTTCCGTTCCGTTTTGCCCGATCGCCATCCATTTCCATCAAACTAAAGTTGGTGAGGCCCTTCAAGTCGTGTTTGCAGCGAGGCAGCGTTGGCAGCCTGTATTGCTGGCAACTGTGAGGCAGCACCGTGCAACTTCATTTGTGCACGGCTGTCTTGCTCTTCTGTGCGAATCGGAAGTCATGACATGCCATGTGTGAACGAAGCTGTGTGGCTACAGCTTGCCTGCTTAGTGTTGAGCCCATGCGCCCAAGGCAGCACTAGGGCATGCCGTTCTGAAGGCGCGACAGAGTCAAGCGACATGAAAAGGGGTGAGATTGGAAAGCAGAAGCACGAAGAGTAACGTGGCAAGCCGACTGCATCCCCAAACTGCAAAGAGGGAGAGCAGACAACTCTTTTCCTTTGTTGGCTCATCCCGGACGACGAACTTTGCAGAATTGCGGTAACCATTTTCAACAGGGGTATCCCGAATGTTTTTTGGAGATTCGCATAATTGTGGGTAATGTTGCTACACGCAGTGCAACATGAAGCTGGCCAGCAGTCCACGCCCAAGCTGTGAACTAGAAGAGCCCAAAAGCATCAGAAGCCCAACAGCGAGAAACAAAACTTGCTTTAAGCGCTGATGCTCTCCGATGGAGCAGCAGCCATGCACGGAAAGCGTGCAGGGGAAAAATGAAGGTCAGAAGAGGAGGAAGAGGACGAGGAGACATGAGACCTCCCAACTTCTAATGGCCCAGCCAAAGCGTGGTAGAAGAGGCAACCGCAGCAACCAATCAACGACCTCAATTACGGTCCCTGTTGATCAGATTTTCCCAGCTCCTGTATGCTGTCGCGTTTGTAGCGGGGCATCCAGAGAAGGTCCACCCCCACCGGGAGGGCTCGTTAGACTCATGGAGCAGCCCCACCAACTTCATCATGCACGCGATCGCGACTTGCGAAACAGCAGCGGGACTCAAGGGACCATGGGAGGAGGCGGCGACGGAGGAAAGGTAGCACCTGTCCACGAGCAGACGTTTGTCGTTGTAACGTGAGGCATGTCGGTTGTCGTTTGTGCTTACATCAGAAGTCCTGCTTCGGCTGCCAATCCGAAAAAGGAACGAACCGGAAGAGTTCACGCATTGCCAGCATTACAGTGATACACGTAGCCACCCCACCGACCTATGGAGACTTGCGAGCAGAAGCAGAAGGGAGCATGCGCTTTGAAAACGTGAACGCATCGAGCATGGTGCACACCCTCACGAAGGCAGCTGAGAAGCAGGGCCTGGTCCTCATGACAAAGCAGCGGGACCACTAGCAGTCGCTAGCGGCAACTTCAACTTGACTCCGACCTCCAGCTTGGCTTCAACTTAGCTCCAATTCCAAGGAATGGCCTGCTTCGAGAGGGAAAGAATGTAGCAGAATGATGCAAGCACTGGAACGCACTAGATCAGAAGAAGCTTCTAACAAGAAAGGGCACAAGAAAGCAGAGATAACCAGAGAAGCAGAGAAAGATGCACGAGCCAGATCTTCGTATTCGCACTTCGCATGATAGAAGAGCAGCTTCTCGAAATTCCCCAAAATCAGCGTGCCAGAGAACTGCAGGCAGAACCTAGTGCCTGCCAGCTTCATGCGAAGCTAAGAGCTTCAGAGCTTTAACAGCTCCAAAAAGGTCAGGTGTTTTGCGAACTAGGGTGGGTGGCCCCTTAGCTTCTGACACAGTCCGGGTGCGCTGAAGTGCATGCACAGTGTCCTGTTTCTCCATGCTGACTCTAAGTTATTGCGTTCCCCAAACATACACGTCTGCACCCATGGAAGGCTTACTTTTTCATGCGCCGTTCGGCGCACGCGCATCAGCTTGGAGAAGGAGATGCGCGGAATCGGGAGGTGGAGGAGTACCGAAGCGTATTTTTGAGGCAGACGGCGAACAGTGCCCTGGTGAAGCCGGGCAAAGAGATTGGAGACACTCCCCGAGCATCCACAGAAAGAAGTACCAGCGTCAGCGCAGGGGGATCTAGGGGAAGCCGCAGTGTAGATGGCTCGGACCTGGAAGCAGATTTTGGCTTGGAACTCGGAGGAGCCCGTGCGCCTCGTGCACATGGTGGCTCGACCTCGGCAACATCTAGTACCGCTAGTGCAGTTGATCTTCTGGCAAGCCGATATTCTGTGACTGTACACGGTGCCAAGGCGTCGGATTTCCTTTCAGAGGTCGGAGTTCCGCTTGCAAGGATTGCGAGCGAATCCCCCTATGAGTCGCCGGCGAACAGTCCTCCCGCTGTCAGCCCTGTCGCCAGCAACCCTCTGGAGAGTTCGGAGGCGAGTTCGGAACCCGAAGGCAAGGCGGCCAGCAGCGAGGCAGTCGAAGCAGGCGAAGCGCAGGATGGGGCCAAAGGCAGATTGCAGACGTTGAAGTTGCCAGAGTCTCCCAGGCACCGAGCAAACCCCCTGCACTCCATGGCCTCCGATGCCATGGGTGCTCAGGAGAGCTTAGTCAGCTCAGTCGCCTTGCAAGAGTACGTTGCTTGGCTTGAAGCGCGCCATATGCGCCATGCAGACCACTCACCACTGGCTTCTCAGTCGGCTGAGCGGCATCGTCCCCACAGTAGCACTGTGAACAGCTCGGGCAGCATCCTCTTCCCGCAGAGCCTTCTACCTGAACCTGCCGACGTGAGTGCCGCAAACAGCCTTGCAAGCAGCACAGCCGCGGAACTTCTAGGCAGTCGCGCTGCAGCTTCAAGTACCCTGCGGGAATACATCTTGTGGTTGGAAGTGCAAGATGCTCAAGCAGAAGCTGGCCGTGGTGACAGTTGCATGGCCGACAGCCTTGCAAGCTCAGATCATGCGGCAGAAACATCAAGGGCCGTGGAGAAGTACTGTGCTTGGCGCCAGTCGAGAAATGCTCGTAGCCTAGACAAGCTCGGAAGCTCATCTCTGGACAGTGTGGGCTTGATGTCCAACTTGCATTCGAGTCCAAGCTCAGATTCCTTTCAACAACTGCTCAACGAAAGCCCTGGTCGAAGTGCCAATGCCCTCAGGGAATACCGTCAGCAGCTTGATCATGCATCCAGGCGTGTGCGGGAGGACGGAGACAGCAAGAAGAGACTCTACACTGTCATCAGCCTCCCACCACTAGATGAAGCTGCTGACTACATGGTCGATGGCCTCTTCACAAGCAGCGACATGGACCCAAGCTCTGGAAATGGCACGGCATCATCACGCCTGTTGAGGAGCAGTTCTGGATCACATTCAACGACGCGTGCCCAACTGCTTTCCAAGTCCGCTGGTTCGCAGTCAAGCATGTGCTCACATCCGGAAGCCGACAAACGTTTGGATGCGACGCTCGGGAGCCTTGAGAATGAGAGCGACGCGGGTTTTCTGAACGATCAGCTCCTGTGCAGCGAAAGCAGCCCACGGAGTCCACAGAGGAAAGGCCGGCGATTCGAGCGATTCGAAGCCACCGCAAAGGACTCGGACGCAACAAGCCGACCACAGGATGCGACATGCTCAGGCAATTTCTACGGATCTGGGTCTGTCATCAAGCAGCAAGCCAAGTGGCCTCGACCTCTTGAAGTGAATCCAGAGAACCTACAGAGCTTCGAGAGTTAAGTCTGCGACGATTCCCTCTTTCTCTGGTGCCAGTGAGCAGCCATGTACATCCCTAAGCCCTAAGCCCTAAGCCCTAAGCCCTAAGCCCTAAGCCCTAAACCCTAAACCCTAAACCCGCCCCTAGAGTCGACCCGGCCCAACTCCGGCCAGTCACAAGACCGTGGCTCCACACTACAAGAAGGGCTTGGTCCTGTTTCGCAGAATGCCTCTGTCTGTCAAAATAGTAGGAGGCGTCATTGCACAGCTGGGAAGTTCAGCTGCGGGACGCCCTTGGAATGTAACTCAGCATTTTGAAAGCTGGCTCGGTCCAAGACGACAAACCTCAACAGAGCTGTTCGCGTCACTGGCGCGCCCAGAATGTGCTCACGATCACCAGCGTACCTGCTTGCAGAGTGGTCAGAGGGACACCACGTGCAAATGAACTTGCAAGGAGCAGCAATGTTGTACCTCGATTAGTGTGTCTCCACTGACTGATTGGGTGAGTGAGATAGTTCGTTGATGTTGCTTTTTCCTGCCCCAGTGTGGAAGAGCATACCTGCACCTCCCGCACAACGTGACGAGCCTCAGAAGTATCCACAGGACATAGTTACCGATTTCCCTAAAATTGCCACCCAGGGAGGTGGCGGTGCTGGGTGAAGTCTGAGATCCAATCCGTGCTTCTGAGTAATTTTGGTTAGTCATCTTTGACCTCCCCCCCGCCCCAACCCCCAAGAGGGACTGAAATTACGCTTGGCAAACCTAAGGGGAGCCCTGGAGGCAAAGTAAACCCTCAAATTTTGTGCGAGAGAAACATATTTTCCATCAAACCTATAGGATCAGAGCTTAAGAAAAGCTAAAGACCTCTCGGAAAAAGTCGAGAGGTTCGACCAATCAGAAGCTCGGGATTGGCTGTCGAGGCGCTATTCAACCCAAAAAGGTTGAACATGCGGCTGAACACGCCACGAATGCCGGTGACATGTTCTCCTTGAGCTCAAGGGAAGTCACCACAGCTTGCTGCTCGTTGCCGTTGCGAGCAGCTGAGACCCGGAGTGGAAAACCGGAGCTTCCTGGGCCGAAGCTTCTTTTTGGAGGACACACTTTTGCACCCGTAACGACTTGTTACGACTTGTAAGGTGAGGGCAATGAGGGCTCAAAGCAGTTCAAGAAAAAGACAGGCGCGGCATCTCCAAGTGGTGGCCACAAAAAAGAAGAAAACCGACAGACAGCCCAACAACACTTCACAGAGCCCCATTATTTGTACATTCCCTGTTGATGCCACAGCCATCGTAGCCATGGCACAAATCGGTGTTCTGCACGAGATCACGAACCTTGCGGCCAGTGCAAGCGTCTTGCTTAGCTTTGATGACAGCTGTGTAAGTCACCAAGTGCCCCTGCAAAAGCGATGTGAAGTGTTGACTTGTGTCATGCATGTTGAGGCTGTGGTCTTCTTGGCACGCCTGAAACACTGCGGACTCCAACCAAAAGCCAGAGCAGCCTGTGCTACGCGACAGATGACTGCGAGAGTGTGCGGCACAGGCTGCTGCATACCGAACGACCTGAACGACCGTCAACATCCTCTTGCAGGGCCGTGTCCGAGGGATCCTGTCTTCGGCGGAATTCCGTTGGAAAGGCAGCTCGGCGCACCTCAATCTTAGAGCTTGGGCCGGAGGAGAGGATGCGAGCCTTGGGTGTGCCTGAGAGACTCGGGCATCTGCCCCAGAAGCACAGCCTCGGGCCTCCCCAAAGGAAGCAGCCTCGTTCCTGCGAGCCCCGCGCTCGACCTGCTCGGGCACACACGGTCGCGGAAAGAACAGGGGACGTCGCTGGCCGTCGATGGGAGACACGGCGAACTGCGAACGCGCCAAATTCAAGCGACCCTGTATTTCCTACGACACCTAGGCAGACCCGGCCTTGCACTGTGGCAGTGGCCACACCACGCTCGCCACATCTGCCACATGCTCCTTCGGCTCATGTCTTCGTGAGGCGGCCTGACAGACCGATGAGACTCCAGGAATCGAAGACTGCAGGCGGAGAAAGCGGAGCAAGCGGAGCAAGCGGAGCAAGCGGAGCAAGCGGAGCCACCCATCGATCACGGAAGGCGCCCCCGCCACGGTGGCGGTACTAGGCAGCTCGGTGATGGCTGTTTCGTTGAGGAGGTTTTCTCGCGGCATCTCAGCGCGAGTTGTAGTTTAGCTTGTAATTCGATGTGGATACTGCATGATACTGCACGAAATTCGATCACTCAGGCAGGCATTTTGCGCGACGTACCACTCAACCTTCCCACAACCGTTAGGAAGTTAGGTGCGTACACAGATTATTCTTACGGCCTGCTACAATGAAACGTGCAAAGGCTCCTGTTCGAGTCGGCTCTATCGCGAGTTTGTTCTTGGGAGTGGCGAACTGGCCCCACAAACATGGCAAATTCGCTCAAGAGTTGCAGGAGTTCATGGTTGGGACCTTCGCCAGAGTTGGAAGCCATCCCCTTGGAGCTTGCGGGAGTTTTTGTTTACAACCTTCTTTTGTTGGGACAAATAGGACTCGAGGGCCGTTTTATATTGCGACAGTTCTTTCTCAAGCCAGAGGGTCGCCTCCATGAGCGGGATATGCTGTGTCGACGCAACCTGTACAGGCAGACACAATGCGTGGAGCATGATGCAGCAAGCGGAAAACAGGGATGCTTTTGCTTGAGTGCTTGAGTCCTTGCATGTGCCACAGCAGCATTGTCAAGAGCGGCCTGTCTTCTTGAGGTCCGAAGATGCCATTATCGGGAGTGCTGCTATCGGGTGTGCTGCTGAGACCGTGGCTTCTGGCCCGGTGGATGCTTGTGGGTCCATGATGCCCAGGTCACATCGCAAGCTGCTGGTCCAAGATGTCGGAGCTTCCCAGGCAGATCAGTCCTTCGCTGCTTGCTTGGCTTGGCAGGGAGTGCTGTGGATGGTCGGCGAACTTTTTTGCAAATGCCTCAGAACATTCAGAATTCAATCATAGTTCCCCTGGGCTAGTACAATATCGTGGGGGTGCGATTGCAACAAAAGTCCCAACGTGGTCGGATAGGTGTCTGTAGTTGCTGACATCCTGCAAGTCATTGCAAGTCATTGGTCATGGTCTCCTCTGCAATTCCAACAGAATGTGGGAGCCGGGTTGTGTGCTGCAGCCTGCTGCTGAAGTGTATCTCCATTCTTTCTTCATCGTCTCCTCCTCCCTCCTGCCTCGCTTGTCTGGTAGTCCCGCAGAGTGCGGGAGACAGATGGTGAAACCTATGCTATAGAGAGCAGGTTGTCTGAGAGACTCTAGAAGTTTTATTGAACACATCCAGCCGTATTCCTGGTGAGTGGCAGATGGGAAAGAGCACTTCTTGCCGGCTGCGGAGTTGCGGCCGCGGCGGGCGCTTGCTGGTACATTGTTCAGGCAGCGGATGTAGAGGATGTTCCATGCCAGGCCAGGGCGGGTCCGAAAGTTGAAAAGTGCTACCAGCCTGGAGTTGCCTGTGCTGCTACAGGCTGAAGATGTGAGCCGCTTCTATCAAGTTGTGGACCCTGACATGGGCATCAACTTACGCGCAGAGCCGGACACATCGTCCGAAGGCACTGCCTACGTCCTTATTCCTGGTGAGGCTTTCCACGTGTCACGCGTTATTCAAGATGGAGGCCAGGAGTTCCTTTGCCTCAGTGATGGGCGTGGCTGGGCCTTTACACGCAGCCCCAAAGATGGCGCGGTGATCTGCGTAAGATGTACCGAGCAGGAGGTGCACAGCTTACTTCTCTGTATTCCAGCTTTTGTGAAGTTTCTGCCCTGTGCTTTCGGCCTATACGGTAGATTCTTGGCTCAGGTGATGGAAGCCGGAGGAACCGCACTTGATCAAGTGGAGGCGATGCTGAGGAGCAAGCTGTTCCAAACCGAGGACATGCCAGAGGCCTGCCAAATTTTGAGCGAGCGTATGTTTTCACAATGCCTGAATGCAGCATGCACAAGAATCTGGCCAGGATGCTTTCCGGCAAATGGCACGGAGGGTGCTGCTTGCAAAAGACGAGATGCCAGACCGGCCATCTGGGTAGCGCCCACACGGCAGAATGCTGAGGATACCTTGAGCACTGAAGGGAACCGTTGTTGGTCTCGACCACGAGACACAGACACGGCCTTCCAAAGCTGCAAGCGTCCCCCTGAGCTCTGCTTGTGCCGGATACACGCGAAGATCGCATGCTGCCCGAGCCTAGAAGTAGCTGCCTACACGTCGTCGCAGTGACTGAGATGGCCACAGAGCCCAAGATGTCGACAAAATAGGACATTCACGCAGTAGCGGACACCGCGCATCGAAGCTACACGCATTGACACGCATGCTACCGGCATCTCACTTCCGTGCTGTTCCGGCTCAAGCTCGGTCTTTGCATTTTGGTGGAGCCGAGCGGGCTCCTGCTTCGGTATGGACTGGGACTACTTGGCTGGGTTCGTGCTCTTTTGCCTGCTGCTGTCCGTGGTCTTCGCCGTTCTTGGTCAGTTTGGTAGAAACAGTGGTGCCATCAAGCACTGAGGATGAGACCTCTTCTACACAGGTTGCTCCCTCTGAGGGCTTCCAGAGACTTCTCGCTTCACCTGCGCCAGCGGCGCCATGTCATTGCCAGAGCTGCGCAGGTCGCTCTGGAGGCACGGGTGCCTGTGAAGGAGCTGCAAGAGGACGTCGCCACGAGATTTGCTCGGGCTGCGAGGGGCGCGCCGCCGAACATCAGCAGCGGCCAGCTTGTGCAGATCTTGTTCGAGGTCGGAGTTGCCGATGTGAAGACCCACACGGTGGGTGAAGTGGTGAACTTCCTCATGGAGCACGGCTTCTATCGCCAGACCCACCCGCAGAAGCGCGACTCCTACGGCCCGGTCCCTCCACCCACGCTCGGCCTCGCGGAAGCCCAGCGCTGGGCCACCCTGCTCTTCTTCAGGCGCATGCAGCAGAGGCCCCAACTTATCGAAAAGGGGACCAGGGCCACAACGGAGGCCCCCGGGCCGATCTGCGCCAGCGTCTGGTGCCAATGCCCACCTGGGGCAGCAGGGACGGCCCTTTGTGCCCTGGCCAAGAAGTACTGAGCGAAAAGGAGAAACTAGGGAGAAATCATATGGCTTCAACAGCCAGACGCGCAGATCCTCAGAAACTATCGTAGCCTGATGTCTTGAGCTCTGTGCGGTGACTGCGCGGGACATTCTCACCCCAACGCCGGAGTTCTCGGGAAAAAGCCTGACATTTTCTCTACCCAGACAACCCTGGCAGCGCACGACTGGACGGGTCGTTCTTCAACACCACACAAGCTCTACAAATGCACAGAGCAGCATGCAGCATGTGCATCGGCAGGTGAAGCTTTGTGTCAGTCAGGTTCTGCACCCAAGCAGCTCCGAAACACCAAAGCGTAGGTACAGCATCGCCCATGAACACAGGGTGCAGATGACTTGGCTCATGATCTGCAGATGGAAAGATGCATGAATTCACAAGCGAAGTTCGCGAAGTTGCGCCAGAGCTTGGCCCCAAGCTTCTTATGTTATTCTGTACGTAAAAAGGACCTTTAGGGTATAGGAAGCCTCTGTCTATATGAAGATAAAGTTCAGATGCCCACATTTATTTAAGGCGAAGCTTTAGAGCTTTAGGAAAAACTAGAAGAAGTAGTTGTTCCGAATTCCAAGAAGATCTAAGCTTTGAATTCTGAAGCAGCTTTGGATTCAGAAGCTCCAAATCTGAGGTTTTCAGAACTTATTTATTGTTCTTATTCTCTCCCGGTGTTTTTCGGGAATTATGCTGCGGGTTTTTTCAGGGTCTTCCAAATACATTTCTTGTTCCGCCTGTTTTTTTCTACAGCCACCCCCCCCCCCCGTGGGTGGCTTAAATAGGGTCTATTTGGAAGCTGGGACTCGGGTTTTCTTATAGCCATACACGTTTCCACGAGGGTACGCTGCTGTCACGTCAGTCGTACTATGGAGGCCTCAGGAACAAGAACCAGGTAGTTCCTCTTTTCTCTTCTCTTTTTCTCCTCAATCCTAAAGTCGAAGGCTCTCGTGAGGAGAAGAGAAGGGAGAGAAGGAGGGAAAGATAAGAGGAACACGATTTTCATGGGAAGAGCCAAGAAAAGAATAGAAGAGAGATAAAACAAGGCGCAAAGAAGATGGTACTCTTCTTTATCTATCCTCTCTCCCTTATCTCTCCGTTCCCTCTGTCTTTTCGAAATGAGAAAAACAAAAAGAAAGATGAAAAGAAGAAGGGTTAGGAAAAGAGCCGAAGAGATAGGCCGAAAAGAGGGGTATGGTGAAGTACGGCAAAGGTCCACGCACAAGGAGTCACCTTCTGCTTACCCTTCCACTGCTTGATTTTACAAGCTCCTTTCTTGTGTTTTATCAGTTAAAATTAAAAGGAAACAGAAGGAGAGAAGGGAAAGGGAAGTGAGAGAGGAGAGACAACAAGGAGGCCATTTTAATTTCCTGTGAGTTATCAAAAGGAATGCAATATTATGGGAAGAGCAATGGAAAAAAAGAGTGGAAGAGAAATTAAGACAGGAGAGGGAGGTGCAAAAATAAGGCAAAGAGAAGATGGTGCCGTTTTCATCTCACCTCTCGTTCTTATCTTCCTCTTCTCTGGTTCTTTTCCCTGTGAAATAAAAAAACAAAAGGAAGGACAATGAACATATAAAGGAACCCGTTTTCGTTTTCCGTTTGGGCACAAGGAAAAAAAACAGAGGCGATAGGGCGAGAGGAGGGGTTTGCTGAAGCATGGGGAGGGTGTACGGGCAAGGGGCCAACTCCGCCCACTTCCCCCATCCATTGAAAGAGGAAAAGGAACAGGGCCTCCATTCCCCTCTTATTCTTCCTTTCTTGCGTTTTTGTCGTTTAGAAGGGAACAGGAGAAGAGGAGGGAGAGAGAAGGAGAGAGGAGACATAAAAAGGGTTGCATTTTTAATGGGAAGAGCAAAGAAAAGACCAGAAGAGAGATGATGGGAGAAGAGGGGGAGACAAAACAAGGCGCACAGAAAATGGGCAGATAAGAAGAGAGGAAAGGGAATGACCAAGTACAATGAGGAGTTCTTCAATTTCCCTCCCTATCTCTTATGTTACTTTTCCTTCTTGTGGGGTGTCCCTTTTTCTCTTGAAGATGCAGAAAACGATTGAAAAGGACACCCGTTCCATCGCCCATGTGTAGGGAAAGAGAGAGAATCATGAGCATCAGCTGGGCTTGCTGCCAATCCAACATGGGCGTCCCTTTTAATCGCAGTCTGTGTCCTTTTTTCTCGCTTGAAGATGCAGAAAACGATCCAAAAGCACATCTGTTGGAGGAAGAGAGAAGGAGAGAGGAGAGATACCAAGGATTGCATATTTAATGGGAAGAGCAAGGAAGAGAATAGAAGACAGATGAATAGAGAAGATGGCGCTCTTCTTTATCTATTCTCTCTCCCTTGTTTCTCCCTTCCCTCTTTCTTTTCGAAATGAGAAAAACAAAAAGGAAGAACTATGAGAAGGAGAAGAGTAAGGAAAGGAACAGAAGAGATAGGCCGAGAGGATGAATATGATGGAGTATTATGGAAAGGCTCACGCGCAAGGAGTCACCCTCTGCTTACCTTTTCACTGCTTTATCATATGAGTTCCTTTCTTGTGTTTTATCAGTTAAAAGGAAGCGGAAGAAGAGAAGGGAAAGGGAAGTGAGAGAGGAAAGATAACAAGGATGCTATGTTTCCCGAAGCGTGCTGCAAGGAATAGAAGAGACAGGAAGCAAGGAGACGGAATCACAAAATAAGGCGCAAAGCTGTACATATCATCTCTCCCTTGTCTCTCCCTATTCCCTTTCGAACTAGAAAAAACCATTCTTGCTTTTCACAGATAGGTTCCCTCTCTCCTCTTCAGGAAATCCCCTTTCCCTTATGTTGCTTTTTGAAGCGAATAAGAAAAATAGCAGATAAGAAGAGAGGAAAGGGTCAATTTCCCTCCCTATCTCTTATGTTGCTTTTCCTTCTTGTGGGGTGTCCCTGTTTCTCTTGAAGATGCAGAAAACGATTGAAAAGGACACCCGTTCCATCGCCCATGTGTAGGGAAAGAGAGAGAATCATGAGCATCAGCTGGGCTTGCTGCCAATCCAACATGGGCGTCCCTTTTAATCGCAGTCTGTGTCCTTTTTTCTCGCTTGAAGATGCAGAAAACGATCCAAAAGCACATCTGTTGGAGGAAGAGAGAAGGAGAGAGGAGAGATACCAAGGATTGCATATTTAATGGGAAGAGCAAGGAAGAGAATAGAAGACAGATGAATAGAGAAGATGGCGCTCTTCTTTATCTATTCTCTCTCCCTTGTTTCTCCCTTCCCTCTTTCTTTTCGAAATGAGAAAAACAAAAAGGAAGAACTATGAGAAGGAGAAGAGTAAGGAAAGGAACAGAAGAGATAGGCCGAGAGGATGAATATGATGGAGTATTATGGAAAGGCTCACGCGCAAGGAGTCACCCTCTGCTTACCTTTCCACTGCTTTATCATATGAGTTCCTTTCTTGTGTTTTATCAGCAGAAGAGAAGGGAAAAGCAAAAATTGAGCCCAACATTTTAGGACCAGGGCTTGCGATCTGACTCTTTGGAGCAAAAATCGATTCCAAAATCTTAGGGACCAGGGCTTGCGATGTTACTCTTTGGAGCAAGAAATGAGCCCAAAATCTTAAAGACCGGGGCTTGCGATTTCACCTTTTGGAGCAAATACTGGGCCCAAAATCTTAGGGACCAGGGCTTGCAATTTGACTCCGTGGAGCACAAATCGACCCCGAAATCTTAGGGACCAGGGCTTGCGATTTGACTCTGTGGAGCACAAATCGACCCCGACAACTTAGGGACCAGGGCTTGCGATTTGACTCTTTGGAGCAAAAATCGACCCAAAAATCTAAGGGACCAGGGCTTGCGATTTTACTCTTTGGCGCAAAAACTGGGCCCCAAATCTTAGGGACCAGGGCTTGCGATGTCACTCTTTGGAGCAAAATTGAACCCAAAGTCTTAGGGACCAGGGCTTGCGATTTGACTCTTTGGAGCAAAAACTGTGCCCAAAATCTTAGGGAGCAGGGTTTGCGATTTGACTCTTTGGAGCAAAAACTGGGCCCCAAATCTTAGGGACCAGGGCTTGCGATTTGACTCTTTGAACCAAAAACTGGGCCCAAAATCTTAGGGACAAGGGCTTGCGATGTCACTCTTTGGAGCAAAAATGAACCCAAAATCTTAGGGACCAGGGCTTGCGATTTGACTCTTTGGAGCAAAAACTGGGCCCCAAATCTTAGGGACCAGGGCTTGCGATTTGACTCTTTGAACCAAAAACTGGGCCCAAAATCTTAGGGACAAGGGCTTGCGATGTCACTCTTTGGAGCAAAAATGAACCCAAAATCTTAGGGACCAGGGCTTGCGATTTGACTCTTTGGAGCAAAAACTGGGCCCCAAATCTTAGGGACCAGCGGCTTTGGAGCAAAAATTGAACCCAAAATCTTAGGGACCAAGGCTTGCGATTTGACTCTTTGGAGCAAAAACTGGGCCCAAGATCTTAGGGACCAGGGCTTGCGATGTCACTCTTTGGAGCAACAATGAATGCAAAATCTTAGGGACCAGGGCCTGCGATTTGACTCTTTGGAGCAAAAATTGAGCCCAAAATCTTAGGGACCAGGGCTTGCGATTTGACTCTTTGGAGCAAAAATCGAACCCAAGATCTTAGGGACCAGGGCTTGCGATGTCACTCTTTGGAGAAAAAAATAAACCCAAAATCTTAGGGACCAGGGCTTGCGATTTGACTCTTTGGAGCAAAAACTGGGGCCCAAATCTTAGGGACCAGGGCTTGCGATGTCACTCTTTGGAGCAAAAAACGAACCCAAAATCTTAAGGACCAGGGCTTGCGATGTCACTCTTTGGAGCAAAAATTGAACCCAAAATCTTAGGGACCAGGACTTGCGATGTCACTCTTTGGAGCAAAAACTGGGCCCCAAATCTTAGGGACCAGGGCTTGCGATTTGACTCTTTGGAGCCAAAACTGGGCCCAAAATCTTAGGGACCAGGGCTTGCGATGTTACTCTTTGGAGCAAAAACTGGGCCCCAAATCTTAG